CCAATGTTAAGTCTGCAGAATTTATTATTTCCATATTTTATTATAGAGATTTGAAACAATACAAAGCTCTTTATATTTCAAAGTAAATTTTGGTATTACAAATAGAAATCTGCCTCCATATTTCAACATGTTAGACGCACTATAAGATCTCTTTACTCTTCTCCATGAAATAAAAAATACTAAGTTCATTTTTGGATGAATTGGGAAAATGCTTAAAAGAAAGCAAAACAGATTATTTCATTTGAGAATATTATTTTACTCAGTCTATGCAGTCAATGAAAATATACAGTTTTTCTAAACTCAAGCAAAATAAACTGATAGTTACTAAAATTTTTTTAAACCTGGTAAATCTCTAAGTTATTGATGAGGCCATTGTTAATGAGAGAAACCTCTAGGTGACATGTAATTATACAAGAGCATGGTCACATAAGATAACCATGATGTCTCAAGTCCAATCATCTGAAATGCAAAATGAAAGACATGTACACACACAAAGAAAGTCTCCCAAAGGAAGATGGAAAAAATAAACATAAACAGGAAACAATTCTCTCCTGGGTATTAAGACTTAGAAACCACTGTTTTCAAACTTCTAAACACTGATAATACAATACTTCCCTCTTTTTCAATTTCATAATAAGATCATCGGCAAGTAGTGAGTTGGTTAATAAGCTTAATCATTACTTGGTTATTGTTTCTTCTTATTAGTGTGCTATAAGAACTAGCAGAGTAACTCAATATTCAGCTTTAAATGATGGAATGTGGAATAACAGAAAAACACTGGGCTCAGATCAGGTGATTACATTGTATTCTTGGCTCTTCCACTAACTGCTAACCCTAATAATTAACTTGGTTTCTCATTTGCAAAACCTTTGTCCTGCACTGATTGCCTGCAAGGCACTTTCCATTTCTGATTTTATGATTAAGGTGGTGATGAAAGGGTCTGACCAAAGTTTCCCAACAATGTCCCTGCCCAGACATATCACTGAAAACATCTGACATGTGATACAAACCACCAAAAGAGAAAACCTACATTGTATTCCACATAAAAAGACTCAGGCAAAGCTGTCCACAATTTGAAAAAAACTTAAGGATACTTAACATGGATCTTCCTATAGCAGGTGGGAAATCTAGGTCTTTTAAATAGAGTTAAAATATCCCATCCTTGTAGAACAAAGAAAATAATTTCTTTCAATAATTTCAACAGAAACAAGTTGAGAGAAGAGAAACCAAAAGTTTTCCTATATGAAATAAATTACAATGGAGGAAGAATATAGTGTACAATAGAAATCTTTAAAAAAAAAAACTCCTTGTTCACATGTTCACATGCTTTGAGCTTTGGGATTCTATTCCTTGTCTTTCAATGATTTTGGTTTGAGACATTGGAATGAACAATATTGCATGTTTTAAACAACTAGAAATTTTGCAGACAATCATGGCAATGATCTTACGATGTTTTGAGTCACCGCCCTGATGGAGAGGTTGTATTTCTTACTGCTCTAAAAACTTATAGTTAAAACAAAGTAATACACAAACACATCAGCTCATTTCCGACATTCTCAAATCAATGGATATGGAATTGCAGAATTAGCCTTTATTTGTACAAATTTGGTATTGATCCAAAGGACAACAATTGGGTACAATCTATCTTTTGTGCCCATATTCATGATTCTAAAAAGACAACCATTTAGTGGCAGATTTGGGGTGCCACCACCTGCAATGCTGGTGTCCCATTTGAGTTCTGTTTTGAGTCCTAGCTGCTCCACTTTCCATCCAGCTCACTGCTAATGCACCTGGGAAAGCAGCAGCAGATGTCCCAAGCACTTGGGCCTCTGCTACTCATGTCAGAGACCCAGATGGGATTCCAAGCTCCTGGGTTTGGCTGGCCCAGTATGGGCCATTGAGGCCATTTGGGGAGTGAACCACTGGATGGAAGCTGCCTCTCTCTGTCTCTCCCTCTCTCTGCAACTCTTCCTTTCTAATAAATAAATTAATAAATCTTTTTTTAAGGCAAATATTTTCATTATCATTCTTGAACTTCTCTCTCCACCCCAAGGACGTATGCCAAAATAACTCAAACGAAGTATTTTCTAACACCTCCTCACTGCATCTATACAGAAAGCTTCAGCTACTGATGCACTGTGAGTGTTGCTCATTACAAATGCCAAGCGTTTAGGGAGGGCCCAACCACAGCACTCAGGGTGGTAAGTGCCAACCAAACCAGCCAGATAATAACAAAAACATCCAGGGTGCAGTTCTGAAAACCTTGGCACCTCACACACTGCTAAACCTACAGTCAAGAATGCACTACTTGTTTCGATATATTGAGTTTATTACCTGTTACTCTTCAGCCAGGCAATATCACAAATGGCTATGATTAAACTAAAATTTAGCACTAACATGAAGCATTTCATTTCCTTTACATATTTCCAAAAGAAAGAGACATAATATGTGTAGACTACTGGCTATGTGGCAAAGATGCAGAACAGCCAGTAAATATTTACCAAATGGATAAAAACAAAGTAAAATACATAATTTCTCCATGAGCACCTTCTTTTAACCAGAATATCAAAAATAAAATCATAAAACCTACAACAAGGTATTAAAATGTATGATACCTATTGTTTCCCATGTTACAAAAATATTAACAAACTCTTCTACAGAGGTTAAAAGATATAAAAAACTATTATTGATGGGCTTGTGATTTAGTTGTTCTAAAGCTGCTTTATTTTTCTAGAAACAATAAAGAAATATTTGATCTTAACTTATATCAATGACATTTTCAATGTAATCAAAATTATTAGAGATTAACAAAGATTTTTATAATTTTAGAACAGTGACCTTTACTCTAGTGACTCCATGTCTTAATTAAGAATGAAAAGAGAGAGACCAGCACTGTGGCATAGTAGGTTAAGCCTCTGCCCATGGTGCCCGCATCCCATATGGAGCCGGTTTGTGTCCCAGCTGTTCCTTTTATGATGTAGCTTTCTGCTATGGCCTGGAAAGCAGTGGAAGATGGCCCAAAAACTTATAGGCCCCTGCACCCACGTGGGAGACCTAGAAGAAGCTCCTGGCTCCTGGTCTCAGATTGGCTCAACTTCAGCCATTGCAGCCATTTGGGAAGTGAACCAATGGATGGAAGACTACCCTCTCTGCCTCTCAAATAAATATAAATAAATAAATAATAGATTTATCTTTAAAAAAAGAGTGAAAAAAGGAAACAAAGGAAAGAAATATGCAAGAGTGCTTATATTGGTGTTCTTGTATTGTGGAATTAAGGGTGATTTTTATTTTCTTTTTAATCTTTTCTCTATTTTCAAAACTTTCTATGATAAACATATATTACTTGAAAGATTAAAAAAGTTATTTTTAAAAGTTAATATAAGACCAAAACATTAAATGAGGAGAAATCAAAGCAAAACAAAAGGCAGCTTCTTGCAAATATAGTTGCTTATGTCTCCAAAAGGTCTTCTTGGAACAGGTGGGTGAAGGAAAGCAGAATAGACAGCAACAGACAATTAATAATCCCCTTCCCACCTAAAGAAGAGGACAGAGCCTAAGCAAACGTAGCTCTGCTTCTCCATCAACTCTTTATACAGAGGGCTTTAGACCTCGCCCAAAGAAATAGCATCTAGGTCTTTAAAAGTACCACAGACATGCCAAGGAAAGAATGACCCTCTTGTCAGAACCTAAATCTAACTTGTGAAGGTGGAGCCAAAAATTTTTTGTTCCAGTTTTAAGCGATAAAAGACTAAATGTAAAATTGGAATAGGCTCCCTTTTAGAAATAGAAGCACAGAAATAGACTGTGGGGGTGTGATTATGATTCTTACGGAACTTTAAAACATGGGCATATAAAAAATACACAAAATGTAATTTAACACTCCACTATTACCAAACAACTCACATGCAACTGAATCAGCCTAAAGCTCTTCAGGAATTGAGGACTACAGAGCTTCGTCTGCTTTTGAAGCAATATTTTCCAATGTGGACTACACTGAAGAGCAGAGAGTTTAAATGAACCTTCAGGCAAAACTAAGCAGTTCAAAATGATTCTATTTCTGTATGTATTTTCCCTCCTGTAGAAGAAAAGCAGGGTAGTTATTCATAAAAACTGTTAATAGTACCGTGAAGAAGTAGGTATACAACATCATTATGTATGTTAAAATCGGTTCTAGTATTCTTTGGTTTCTCACGTATGCTACAGTAAGCATATTGTGACTTAAGACTTTTCTAGATCTTTGAGAATTATGTGTAGGGTGGAAAACGGGGAGAATAACGAGCAACTGACTACCCTATTCATGATGGCACAGACATAACATGACACAATGGAGGAGAGCATGAGTGTCAGACCAGAGTCTTGGTCCCAGCCCAGTCTCTCATTATCTGGGTAACGACCATGGCTGGGCATTCTCAGCTGCAAAATCGGAGTGTGCTTCTGGGTGGCACTGACACTTCTAAGTGAAAATTCTAACTTCTCCCTTCTTAACTGCTGACTAAAACAAAGGTTCTTCTTTGAAGAATTAAAAGGTCTTTGAAAAACTCCTAACTCCTTCTTAATCAAAAGAGTGTTTAAAAATAGCATGGAAGGCTACAATTTCCCACTGGACGAATTCACATATTAAGGGAATAACCAGAGTCCCACATCAGCAAAAAAGATGCTTTATCTATTAGAGAACTGGCATGGCTTAGACAAGCTATAAAATAACTAGAATTTGCAATTCTATATAAAATGAGTTTTAAAGGAAAGAAAGGAAACTGGATTAATGGAAACCTACATATGTATTTCTTCCTAATCTCAGTTCTAATCTAGGAGGCAATTCAAACTTTTCTTAAGTAAGACACAAAATCTCCAGTTCACCAGTAATGTGAATGTCATGACTTAATGGCAAGAAAGGTATTCTGATGCGTTCTCTATGAAATCTATGGAAGTGTTATATTGGTGCATTGGAAGAGTGATAATGAATTCAGTCTGAAATGAATGGAAAGTGAAATCACACAAACCCTTGGGTCCTTCATCCTTGGGAGAGGGAAGGTTCCTAACCGGATCCCGGATACTGCAGTCTGTCCCTGCCCAGGTGAAATCACAGATGCAGGTGGCTTCATTACTACACACCTGTCAAGGAAAAAGAGCAGAGATGGGGCATTTTGACAGGGCTTAGCAGAATAATAGTGACAAATGCAAGAGTCACAGGAGCAAGGAGAAAGCTTTGAAAACCACTTGTAACTTTTCAAGATTCCTTTGGTTTTGAGCACTAGACATAAACAATGCACAGATGATATTGTTGAATGATATTTTCGATTAATTATAAGAAAATAAAAGTCAATAAGAGCACATGTGTAAATTATATTTGAATGACCCATGTTGATATAATTTAATTACATCAATGTCTAACCATAGTTTTGTTTCCAGGAATATACTTCAAAAGTATACATGCTTAATTCAACAAATTCGCAGCTACTGTTCTCAGAGGACTTTGCCAGAGGTAGAAGGCTTTGGGTTCAAGAGACATTAAGACAGGAGACCTAAGTCAGCAACACACTGCATTACCTCACCATGACCAACACCAGACATTTGGTGGAGCTTTCCCTGCCCAATAAGCAGCCCTCCCACATTCACTGCCAGTCCCTGAGTACTCTTTGCTCAGTCAGCCAGGCTGAAGACCCCAGGAGAATCTTTGCCTTCCCATGGGTTCCAGGCTGTAGGCTAGAATGGACTTCTAACATAAATAAGCAGCCATCTGAAAAGCAGACAGGGAGTTTAAACCCTTATTCCTCTGTGAAATACACTGAGAGCCGGATTATTAGAGATGATAAAATTAGAAGCTTTTTAATCTGTAACATTATAATACCATGATTATTATTAACAAAGCTAAATTCCAACTTTTTTATCAAGATGAGAAAGTGACAGAGGTAGGAGGACATTAGTAAGAGCCTCTTTTATGCGTTAAGTTTTACGTTTTCAGAGCAACAGCTGAAAAGGTTGCCCAGTTATTTTACTTATGTAGAAATTGCTAAGTGCCAGGAACCAATACTATGTGCTTTACGTAAAAGTATCTCATTTAATCCTCACACCAGCACCCTGATGACCAAGAGATGTTAAATGACTTGTCAAAAGTCACTGAGACCGCAAGGGGCAGAACCAGGAATCAAATCCATGATTCTTTCCAGTACCCAAATCTATGCTCCTAATCATTAGGCTTTCTTTCCTATGAGCCTATGATTCAACCAAACCTCAAACCCTAGACAATAGTTGGCACAGGTTCTTGGGGCCTTCCATCTTTTTCTATCATCTGCCTATCAATCTATTTTGCAATAGTTTTATCTTCGTTTTAGCATCTCGCTTTTTGATGATTGCTCTGTTTCTTATTGTCTCTTTTTTTTCTATTTCTGGTCTATATAAATTTTTGAAATACCTTCCTTTTGCTAATCCTAATTTATTAAACTAATGTTAATAATTAAAGTTCATTTTTGGATATGAAGTCTAGGTTTGCCAGTAACAACAACTTGCCCAAATACTTTGTTCTCAGAATTAAAGAGATGGGCAGGCGAGAATAGGTGCAGCGTCTTCTCCTTGGCTGACAGTGATCCAAGCATAACTGTAAAATTTCAGCCTTGTGATTCACACCACTGACCCAACACCTAGTTTAGCATGATCTGGTACACATACTTGTAGATAAACAATATGCACACTGAGCGGCTGAAAGTGAACTGCTGAGATGATTTGTTTTGAATTGTACAAAACGATCACATGGAGTTCCTTTAGGAGTAGTACCAATTTTCCTCCAGTCTTTTGATGTTATGATGGTTAATTTTATTTGCCAACCTGATGCAGCCACGGGGTGCCCCAAATAAGCATTATTTTGAGGTGTGTCTCTGAGAGTGTTTCTAGATGACATTAGCATTTCAGTCACTGGACTCTATAAAGTGCATGGGTACATGGCCTTCCTGAATGTCAACAGGCATCACCCAAACCACTGAGGGCCTGAATAGAACATGAAGGAGGAGGAGGGAGTCCGCCTCTTTGTTTATCCTGTTCACTGCTGGAGCGGGAACATCTCATATCATCTCCTCTAGCCCTGGGACTGGGATTCATCCCAGCAGTTCTACCACTTCTCCCATCTGGACTCAACCCGAACCGCACCACCAGCTTTCCACGCTCTCAATCGTCAAGACAGCAACTGTGGGACTTCCCAGCCTCCACAATCATGTGAGCCAATTCCTAAGAACAAGTCTCCCATTTACCTGGGCAGAGAGCATCTCCCATTGGTTCTGTTTCTCTGGAGACTCCTGACTGATACGGATAGCAAGTCATATTGAGAATGTGCTACATATGAATAGCCAGTGATACAAGAAACAACAAAAATAAAACCATATGAACACAGAGGACATTCTCAGCAGATAGGGACACTAAATAAATGTTAAAATCAGTGCACAGATCTTGACAATAACCATGATAGGAGAATTGAACAGGAAATCTAACCATGTGAACTTTGGGGATGCTAGACATGGACGCTTCAAGCTGGAACATAGATATCTACTTACCCCATGGCCTGAACAGACTTTACCCTTGGAATCAAGGGGACAGCTGCTCATATTGAGGGCTTGAATCTGTAGGCACTTCCGATCTAAACACATCATAGATGGGCCACATGGTGTTCCATCTTCTACATAGCCCACATCTGTGTCATCATCTAAAACTACGTGAGCACCACTAAAAGAAGAAAGATATTCACGCACCATTATCACCACACTGAGAAGTATAACATCAACCCACATGAAGCTTGTCTTCCGGAAAATGCAGACGCTGTTGGTCAATTTGAGTTTCTCCCAGAATTTCCCCACTTTTTCCCTTTAATAAAATATCAGGAAAAAGAAACTACTTGTCACTATCCTTCACTTGTTTCTAAAACCAACATTAAGACTAGAGGAGAAGTATTTGCCTAAGAACAAAGGAAGAAACTATATCATTAGCTCTTTAAGACTTTCAGATGTGGTGTGGTAGAAAGAAGCAAATGTTGAGTAAAAGTATAAAATAAAAATATTGTTGAAAATTATTACTTCAGAGGATTTGATTATTCATAATTCAAAAAATAAACCATGTCTTCCATATTGCTAGGCACTTCTAAAATTTCAAAGTTAGGAATAACTTGAATTTGAATGATATTCAATGCTATAATTACTAATAGATTATCTTGTTGAGTATTTTACAATATAATTTAATAGAGCTGTTGTATCTAGAGACATGTGAAAATGTGCACATTCAAGGAAAGCTTGTGTACATCAAAGTAACTAACATTGAAGACTACAAATTTATTCCCAGAAAGATCTTTTCCAGGACCCTATTAGAAGTCCCTTTAAAGGCCACTCAAAAGACAGAAAAGCAATCATTTGACCAAGACAGCATTATGCAATTGTGTGCTCAGTTACTAAAATGTGTTCGAACTCACATTACTATCATTCCAAATCTTATGTGTACGCAAATAAGATGAATAATTGCTATTTTAGGGATACTAAAAATAACTTTGCCCCCTACACACACACAAAGTTCTGTAGGGGAAATCCCCAAAGTGTTTGAGCCAATCTTAGTATTATGACCACTATGAAGGGAATATTTTTTTGCAAATATAATATGACTCCTTGACTAAAAAAAAAATAGGCCACATACCTATGTGCCTTGTACTCACAGACAATTAGGTATAAAATCTTTGCTTATAACAACAAATACTATTTTACTATTTTCTAAATGTAATTTGGGTAATTATGCATCTGTAGATGCATGCTACAGAAAGTACAGCTTAAACTCTTTTTCCTTTTATGGTCATAAAATTAAAACACAGGGATCAAATAATGGTATTTCCAGTGCACAAAATTTTAATCACAGTTATGGATACTATAATTCTACTTTTAAGAATATGATTGGCCAGCGCCGCGGCTCACTAGGCTAATCCTCCGCCTGCAGTGCCGGCATACCGGGTTCTAGTCCCAGTCGGGGCACCAGATTCTGTTCCGGTTGCCCCTCTTCCAGGCCAGCTCTCTGATGTAGCCCGGGAGTGCAGTGGAGGATGTCCCAAGTCCTTGGGCCCTGCACCCCATGGGAGACCAGGATAAGCACCTGGCTCCTGCCTTAGGATCAGCGCGGTGTGCCAGCTGCAGCGCGCCAGCTGCAGCCATTGGAGGGTGAACCAACGGCAAAGGAAAACTTTTCTCTGTGTCTCTCTCTCACTGTCCACTCTGCCTGTCAAAAAAAAAAATATGATTACAACACTTCAATAAAAAAAAGAATATGATTACAAAAAAAGCCTTACTACTAACAGCTAGTATAATTTTGAGCAAATATAATTTTCTTTTTAGAAAAGGTTTGTTTATTTATTTGAAAGGCAGAGTTATATATAGAGAGATCTTCCATCTACTGGTTCACTCCTCAAGTGACTGCAATGGCATTGCTGGGCCAGGTTGAAGCCAAGAGTTTATCTGTATCTCTCATGTGGGTACAGGGACCCAAGTATTTGGGCCAGTCTTCCACTGTTTTCCCAAACTATTAGTAGGGATCTAAATTGGAAGTGGAGCAATTGGGACTCAAATTGGCATCCATATGAGATACTAGCATTGCAAGCAGTGGCTTATCCTGCTATGCTACAATGCAGGCCCCACAAATGCAACTTTCAAATCATTACATAACTTTGCTTTTTAAGTGACTCTCAGCATGAAACCTACGTCTTAAAATCTAAGTCAACTTTCTTTTTGCAAGAACTAGAAAATCTTTAATTTTTTTAAAAATTTGATGTTTGGAGGTTGAAAGTCTCAGTTTCATTAGTTTCCAACATTTAACATATTACCTGCAATCAATCACCCGGCCTTGATGGTAGAAGGAAGTTGGTATGATCTCACCCTGAAGCTGACCAATACGTGGAGCTCGAGTGAGATTGGCACAGAGTAAAAATCCACAGAACACGTCACTGAGAAGGAGAGGGAACAAGACAGGAGGAATCAGACTCAATCATGAGTATTTAGTCCATAAACTCATCTATTCAAAATGTTTAAAAACCCTACTTGTAAAAAATGCATGTATTCAGATATTGTTAGTTGGCTAAGACCTCCTCCTTGTTTCCTTGCCAAGAAGACCAGTTTAACCCAGACTTCAAAACGTTCATGGAAAATATGATTAAAAGGCAACCTTATCTTGGTGCAAAAAAATTTTGAAATCCAAGTACAGTTTTTCCATAATATACATTTTCCATAAAATTTTTGAAGATCTCTCATATGCATGGGTTTCATAAAATTTTTGTACTAAAATAAATTTGTTCTCTAAATTTCATTTTCCACTTATTTTTTGAATTGCTTTGTATTTGGGGCAGCAAGGTGTCTAGTCCTGGAAGATGGATCATAACTGATGTGTAAGCTACTCAATGCCACTCCCATTCCTTCCACTGACCTTCCTACCCATCCTCCCCCTCTTCCTCTGAGAACTAAAAGAGGCCTGATGTGAGGAGAAGCCAGTTAGGGAGCTGCTGGTGAGGATTATGTTTTCTGGATAAAAGATTATAGCCTTTTGTTCCTATCCTACTTCCTATCTTTGAATATGTAGCTTGTGCATCTACCTTACAATTATGGGAAACGGGAGATGGGAGGGTTGCGGGTGGGAGGGAAGTTATGGGGAGGGGGAGCCATTGTAATCCATAAACTGTACTTTGGAAATCTATATCTACTAAATAAAAGTTAAAAATATTATGAGTTTATAGCCATAAGGATAAAAAAAAAAAAGAAACTCAACATGCTAAAGATTATACAGCCAAGGGGCAGAAATCATTGTTAAATGACTAATCCACCATGAGGGCAACTAACTTGATTCTCTGCTAAATAAACAATGAGCCCTAAAAAATGGGCACAGACCTGGAGCGGCATGTAACAAAAAAGGGAAATCCATGTCTAATAAATATGTGAACATGTGTTAGGTTCCATTTTCAATACGAGAAATGTATATGAAACCACAATGCTGTAGCAGTTCATACTCATGAGAATATATTAAAGTTAAAAAAAGTCTGATGATACCAAGTGTTGGTATTATCATTCTTATGTACATATTATTGATGGTAGAGTTTATTTATTATAATCATTTTAGAAAACAATTTGACACACATCCACTATGAGCTGGTGATTTTTCTATCAGGTACAGGCCTTGTAGAAAACATGTATGAATGTGTGTTAGATTACATGTGTAACAGAGTTCATAGCAGCACAGTTCTTCACAACCAAAATATGGAAACAACCCAAATGCCCATCAATGCAGAATGGAGAACTAAATTGTATTATATTTACATGTGTAGCTATGAAAAGGAAACAAATGAACAACAACATGAAAAACAGCTATACACATCAGAAAACTCTTAAAATGCTGAAGTTCCAAAGCAAAATACAATGTAATGCACAAACTACTAGGGCTGAAAACAGCCAAACACAAACAAACAATTCTAAATAAAAGAAAAGCTACTGCCATGAACTCAGGATGAAGTTTCCTTCCAAATAGAAGATGGGAGACAGTGATGGGGAAGGATACATGACTTCTCAGATGCTGCAATGTTCTATTTCTTGACTCAGGTAAGCTTACAAGGAAGTTCACCTTATATTTATTTGTTGAAATGTATATTGTGCATTATTTACTTTTATTACAGATTCGGGACATGCTCAAGCTGACTTACCTCAAACGGTAGAGTCAGAAACATACCAGGGGATTCCAATTCAATCCCATCAAGGTGGCATGTACCAATGTCATCTCACTAGTCCCAGTGATCAACTTCTGTTCAAACTGATCATAATGATAGGACTAAGAACCAAAGGAATCACATAAACAAGAATAGTGTCTGCAAATACTAGCTGATAGAATCAAAAAGGGAGAGAATGATCCATCATGGGAAGCGGGATACACAGCAGACCCATAGAATGGCAGATGTCCTAAACAGCACTCTGGCCTCAGAATCAGCTTTTAAGGCATGCAGATCCGGCTAAAAAGCCCATGAGAGTATTTCAGGCATGGAAAGCCAAGACACTCTGGGGAAAAAATAAAAATAAAAAAACCTAAATGAAAGATCTCTGTGAGTGACATCCCAGTGGAAAGAACGGGTCATCAAAGAAGGAGGTACCTTTCTCTGAAGGGAGGAGAGAACTTCCACTTTGACCATGGCCTTGTCTAAATATGATCAGAGTCAGTGAACTCAGGGGGCTTCCACAGCCTTGGCAGCTCATGACAAGAGCCTAGGGTGATTACTGATGCCATAAACAAGAGTGTCAATTTGTTAAGTCAACAACAGGAGTCACTGTGCACTTACTCCTCATGTAGGATCTTTGTCCTTAGTGTGCTGTACATTGAGATTTAATGCTATAACTAGTACTCAAACAGTATTTTTCACTTTATGTTTCTGTATGGGAGCAAACTGTTGAAATCTTTACTTAATGTATGCTAAACTGATCTTCTGTATATAAAGAGAATCGAAAATGAATCTTGATGTGAATGGAAGGGGAGAGGGAGTAGGAAAGGGGAGGGTTGCAGGTGGGAGGGACGTTATGGGGGGGAAGCCATTGTAATCCATAAGCTGTACTTTGGAAATTTATATTCATTAAATAAAAGTTAAAAAAAATTTCTAAAAAATATATTAATTTCCCTTAACTCATTGAGGGCTGGATATCATATTGCCAGATAGTAAAAAGCTAACTTCTACAATGATCTAATTCAATACTAATTCCCCAACTATTTTTTAAAATTATTTTCATCTTATTAACATAAAGAAAACAGATTTTAATGTATTTCATAGATACAATTCTAAGAAGACAATAATACTTCCTCTCTCCCTCAATCCATCTTTATCCTTTCTTTTTTTTCTTCTTTAACTTTTTGCAATAACATACTTTCAATTCTTCTGAAGGCATAGAAACAAATAGAAATGATCAGATTTGTCTAGGACACAGAGTTAATGAAAGAAATTAATCAAATTGAGAGGACTCAACCATATGGATGTTGACTGTTTTTGACCCTCCTTCCTCCTACTCCTTGGCACCCAAGAACTGAGGATCAACATCTTGGGACATCTGTATCTCACTCATGAATTGCCAGTGGGAAGCTTTATTGTCCATTATTTTTATGTAATTTTAAAGAAATTATAATTAAAGATTATTTGCCTAAGGCTTGATACACCATCAAAAGCTACAAGAAATGTCAAAGTTTCAAATACTACAGCAAAAAAGATTATTATTTAAAAACAAAAACAGAAACAAAAACAAAAAAGCTTCCCTTAAATTCTTGTTCTGCTTCAAAATTGGGAGGAGAATCTTCCATGCTCTAGAGGAGCTTTGGCCTATAACTTGTATCTCTTCAGAACAAGAATCAAGTAAAAAAAAATCCAGCATCTGAGACAATTTCTGGATTTTACAGAAATGGTGTGAGTCTGTAGCAGGGTATCAGTTTAGTTCACAGCATGTGCCTCTAGATACACTAAAATATAAAACACATACTTTACATTTTTGAGTAAGTGAACATTTTTAAAAATCAGTAATATTTATTAACATTGAATTTGTGCTCATTTTGCATTGGCATCAGAGCTCCCAAGCACTTCTGGGTCATGTGCTCCCCACAACCAGCCACTCACTGTTTGCTGCACTGGATCCATCGGTCTCCATCCTTCCCACAGTTGCCCTTCTCAGTGCCTTCCGTATTCAGCTTTTCATAACAGAACTTGTCAGACCCTGTGGCCTCTTTTGGAAATAGGCAAGGGAAAAATTAATTTTACTTTTTTTTGGTTGTCTATAACCAGCACTGTGAAAATAAATATTTAACCATTTGTTCTCCAGAAGAAGCATGAAAAATCCTGATTTGTAGCATTTGCCAATTTTTCTGGTGTAAATACTTCATGGAAATGGAGTAAATATTGCATGTGATGTCCTAGGGCTTGTAAAACCCCTGAAAATTAAATAACTGGCTCTTACCAGCTAATACCAAACAATCCCAACACAACATCATTTTTTCAACATGAGAAATACACTTCTTTCCAATTCTTGTCTGTGGATTCATGGAGGAAAGTAAGAAGGATCATTAGCAGGAATCAGTGAAGTGATATGTAGAAAACTAATAAACATTCCTAATCTTGTCTTATGTAAACATTAGGAGATTAATTACAAATCTTAGCCCACTGAGATTTCATGTTGGCCCTTGGGCTTTGATATTTACGTGTCTATTTCATTTTCTCTGTCAAAACTAAACCACTGATTGTAAATCAATCAGATAAATATTATCTGCCAAACATAAAAATCACTCATGCCAGAGCCCTGTCTGTGCTTTCTTCTCCTTTGGGGTGACCCAGCCTCCATCACAAGGTAGACTTATTTCTCATGGTTCCCATCTGGCCCCTGGGAACTCGAGTCCTTTGGAGAAGCACAGCAAATGTTGGGAAGAGATATGGATATTATCGTTTAATGAATGTACAAGAGGACTTCAAAGTGTTCATGGAATAATGGATCTTTTTTATCTTTTTAAAATCATTTTTATTTTTAAAAAACTTATTAAAACATTATACTAACACGGTCACAACAAATGTGTGAAAATTACTACAACACAGTTCTCAACAATTCTTGTTAATGCAGTATTAATACAAAGAGAACAGATTTAAAAGATAACTTTATTGTAGTAAAAAAAATTAAGCATAGGTTCTGTTCATAATATACATTTCCATGAACTTTTTGAAGAACCCGCCCCCCCATCTACTGAGACTCATAACCTGCTCACACCTTGGGAAATATTTGTATTCTCTGAACTGAGATAGTAAATTACAAACTTTAGAAAATAATTCTAGTACTATCCTTGGGGTTAAAACAAAAAAAGACAGATAACTTGGCAGGGGCCAGAAGTGGAGGAGTGAATGCTAAATGCAAGGTACAAGGTGCCTCATCCAAGGGAAAGAATAACGAATATGACTTCTGCAGTCAACCCAGTTCTGACAAGCAGATGCAACGTTCTCCCTCTGAAAGCCACAATCAGTGGGAGATGCTGTCACTTGTGATGACTCCCTACCTTGAGCAGCTGTTTGTACAGCTCTTGTTCTTTTGTATAGTTCTTACAAGATTCACAGTCCTCTGTATTCTCACCCATTTCTAGATTTTTTAAGCATTACTCTAAGCTGTGACCCTTTCAGCGAGACTGGCAGAGAACAATATTAAGAGAAAACCACAGGTGTGACCTTCAAGCAGGAAGGTGTGACCTACTTGTTCCCCAGATGAATTGGCACTGGTTGTCCCTGGTCTTGCACTCGCCATTGTAGCAGCGACCCTGAGGACAAGAGAACATGCACTGTGAAACACATGCAGCCAGTTCCATTTTCCCAAAATTTTGCCTACAAGGTCTGCTTCTGGCAAATGTAGAGGTCTTTTTTTTTAAATTTCTGCATCCTAATATTTTCAAAGGACCAATAAGAGTCATAATCATCCTGAAAGGCATAAGAATAAACCAAAATATAAAATTCAGTAGAGACTTCATAGTACAGTTCTTTAAATATAAACTAATTAAAAATATAAACTGATTGAAAGATGATCACAACTCAAAATATTACACTTAACCCTTCAACCTTTACATTTTTTTCTGTTCTTATAATCTGGATAATTTGTCATCAGAGTCAAATAGAATATATGTAATATTTCGTATAAGATGAAGCAGCTCTGAATTATAACCCCACTGTAATACTTGATTTGGAGAAATTTCAAAGTTTTATTCATCAAAAATTTTTAAAAAATAATTCTTTCTTAAACTACACTTGTAACTTATACCCCAGTATACCTGATTCTGATTGCATGCATATCCATCTTGCTTATGAAGATTTGGTGGGCACTGAAAAATAAAATCAATTTAATTAATGTTTGGCAGGTTACGTACCTTCAGATAATGTGAACAATGTTAAAATGCAAAACAAAATGGAGGAATGGTGAATATATAAGTAGGAGCAATTAGGAAAGGACATGTAACTTTTCAAGTAGGTTAATTCAAATAAGCACTAGTATTGGTAAAACAATTAACAAACTGGCCCCCTGCAATGGATGTTTCTCTGTTTACTGTGAGGTGATTCACTCACCTACCAAGTTAAAAGTAAAAGGGATCAAAGTCAACAGTGAAGGAAATGAATCAGCTTGTTATGGAAGACTGAACACATTCAGAAACTAATTCACAAGGCCCTGCTCTGCTCTGTGAAAATATCAAATCTGCATTTGACACCATGGCGCTCATTTACAGGCTACTATACTGAGACACAGAAAATATTCTGTCTTTCAACTCATTGTAAATGACCAATCTCCAAACCATGAATGATCTGTGATTTGACCTCTCAAACCAAGAACAATCTGTGATGTGACTGATGTTTGTTTTTTTATAGATTTTTTTTATAAACTCACTCTTTAAAATATGCTTCCTTTTCCCCAAAAGTTGCCCTCAATAAGTGATTTTTTTCCTCTGCATTTTTATTTGCCACATTTAAATGAACTGGAAAAAAAAGGTCAAATCAAAGGCTCTACCTTGTATGCAAAGCAAATATAAGATACACAGGTGTGGCAGGTGAATAAGACACACAGCAATGTGCATAAAAGTTCTTCCTCAGTCTTCACCTTCTCAGTAAATGATATTCCATCCTTCCAAATGTTCAGCCTAAAAACCAGAGAATGATTCTCCACTCTTCTTTCTCTCACACCTTCTATCCTGTCTGCCCCAAATCCTATTAGCTCTACAATCAAAATGCCATAATCTGACCCAAATTTTCTCCATCTCCACCCCTAACACCTGGGACCAAATCACCACCATCTCTAACTCCGAAGTCCCCTGCTTCACCTCACTCTCCTTACAGTCTATATTACTACCAGTGTGGTCCCTTTAAAAATGTAAATATCAGAGGCCAGTATTGTGGTACAGCTGGTTAAGTTGTTATTTGCAACACAGCATCCTATATCAGAGTGCTGGTTCAAGTCCCATAGCTCCCTGCTAATGTGCCTGGCAAGCAGTAAAAGGTAGCCCAGGTGCTTGACCCCTGTCACTCACGTGGGAGACCCAGATGAAGTCTCAGGCTCCTTTTAGCCCGGCCCAGTCCTGGCTCTTGCAGCCAACTGGGGACTGAACCAACAAATGGAAGATCTCTCTGTCTCTCACTTCCTGTCTCTGCTTCTCCCTCTCTGTAACTCCGACTTTCAAATAAATATTTTTTAAAAGCCATAACCTCTCTCCCATGCTGACATTCCATTCCCCATTGCCACTCTCCTCTCCACTGCACTTATCAGCACTGACAAGCCCTATGAGTACATTCTACTTATCTGTTAATTGTTGTCCCCATCACCAGTGAGCTCCCTGCTGGCAGGATTTCAGATTTTTTTTTTTTTTTTGTTCTAAGTTGCTTTTCTAGTACTTAGAACAATACTGAGCATGTGATGTATGCTCAATTACTATTCACTGAATGAGAAAGCAAATGAATGACCCATTCTGATCCAATTAAGAATTCTATTCTGCATATATCAAGCTGTGTACGAAGTTCACCACAGAAAGACAATAGAACTAATTTATTTTTCCTGCCTAGTAGCAACTTATAAAGAACATTTCATAGTAAAACTACTTTGGCCCATGGAATCCCAAAAAAGTTGATCTCATAGAAGTGGAACGTAGAATGATGATTACCAGGGTTTGGGGAGAGATAAATTAATAGATTAATAAAATAGATTAATTTATTGATAAAATAGATTAATTAATTTACCAAGTTATAGTTAGGAGAAATAAGTTCTGATGTTCCATTACACAGGAGGAAGACTACAGAAAATGATAATGTACTATATATTTTTCTTTCATTAAATCAATTTATTTAGAAGTATAGAGACAGATAGACACAGCTGCCATCTGCTGGTTGACTCTCCAAATGCCTGCAAAGACCAGGGCTGGGTCTCATCAAAGCAAGGATCCAGGAATTCAATCCAATCTCTCACATGGGTGGCAGGAACCCAATGACTTGAGCCGGTGTTCCCAGAGGTCTGCATTAACCGGAAGGTGGAGTCAGGACTCGGGTGATGTGATACAGAACACAGGTGTCTGAATCAGCATCTTAACTGGGAGGCTGAGCACCTCCTCCAACAATCATGTAAATATTGTACATGGGGTACATGTGATGTTCTGATACATGAATATTTGCATAATGCCCAAATGAGGGTAAGCACATCCATTTTCTCAAACACTGAGTCCCTGACCCCTCACTTCAGCCAGGCCCAGCCCTGGCCATGCAGGCATTTAGATAGTGAACCAGAGATCAACTGTTATCTTTCTCTCTCTCTCTCTCCCCCCACACCCCCCACCTCTTATGTAAATAAATATGCTTTGGTTCTATGTCTTTCTAAAGAATAAATGACTCTCATACAAGCTCCATTAACCACAAATTTTCATTTTGTGTTTGTGAGTATTTGAAGGTTGTAATTATCAGCACTAAAATTTGGAGTGGGGGCCAACTGCACAAAAACAGAAATCTCTGTGGACTCTTTCATACATCTGAATTCATTCAACAAACAGTAATTATCTCGTTAATTGACCACTATTAATTATTCATTAACTCTAAAATGAAGGCAACTACATGAAGAGAAATACACAAGAAATTTTGCTTCCAGAATAGGCACATCAGGGCCTAATCCTGTCATACTTCATTTTTGTGATGTTTTAGTAAGAAAAAAAAAAAAAAAACTCATACTAGCATAGCCACAAATGAGAAGATTTTTAAATTATTTGTTTTTAGTTTAGGCTAATAAAAGCCAGCTGTTTATCACTGAAATGTATAGCTGAAAAATTAGGGGGGCTCTTATGTTCTCTAGTGACATTTAAATTGGGAGAAAGAATCACAAATCTGGGTATTTTACTCTGCCTCAGAGGAGAGCTTGGGATTCTGTCTCTCAGGGTCATTCCAGACCCAGTTTTATACAGAATGAGAAGGGTCACTGGAGCCTGGTTCCAACCATGTAACATACTTACATGTGTTCATTTTAAATTATGTTTTGCTATCCCACCCATTTAGATGCCATAGTTTACAGTACTAACAAAAAACATTTCTCACATCTTTTAAATATCTTCACTATACTATCCAGGACCATTTGCCAAGAACTTCTCCACATTGGACAAGTACTGTTCTTTTTTTTTTTTTTTAAGGGATTTATTATGTTATTTGAAAGGTAGAGTTGCTGGCAGGGAGAGAGAGAGAGGGAGAGACAGAAAGAGAGAGAGAGAGAGAGAGAGAGAGAGAGATCTTCCATCTGCTGGTTCAATCTCTAAATGGTCACAATGGCTAGGGCTGTGCTGATCTGAAGCCAGGATCCAAGAGCTTCTTCTAGATCTCCCACGTGAGTGCAGGGGCCCAAGTACTTGAGCCATCTTCCACTGCTTTCCCAGGTGCATTAGCAATGAGTTGGATGAGAAGTGGAGCAGCCAGGGCTTGAACCAGCACTCATCTGGGATGATAGTTTGACAGGTAGTGGCTTAACCACTACTCCAAAGTGCCAGCACCACAAATATTGTTTTTTGTGGCATAAATTTTGAAAAGTCATCAGTAAAAGGTAATATCAAAATTAAATAAAACATACCATGAGGTATAACCAAAAACAGACAAAATGTGGCCTGTAGACACTGATTCTCAGAGATGCAGAGATTTCATTTTCTTATTCATCGTTAGTATAATTTAAATCCAACGTCCATTGCCTCTTACAGAGTAGAAGAATTCTGTGGAACTTTAACTGCCTCTACTTCAATGGTCTCTTTTGAGTTCATTCTGATCATATTAAAAAGTTATTAATAATAAAACATTCTATTCCAATATGCCACTGAGAAATTAATGTAACAGGACCATTTTTACCTTAGACACATTAGATAAGAAAGTTTTAATTACACAACAAGTAGTCCTCATTATAAAAACCTTGCTTCCAGCAAATTTTATGGCAATCTCTCCCTCCCTCTGCCTATAACTCTTCCTCTCAAGTAAATAAATAAATCTTTTAAAAAATACATATATATATATATAAAATGCAGTGAAACAATATGTCAGAATTGTTAGTGTAGGTCTCATTAAACACAGAACCCATAATTCTTAAACTGTGTCATTATATTAGGGAGAAATTGCAAATAAGCCTTATATTTTAAATATAAGAAATAGATATGCATAAAAAATCTTTAAAGCCAAAACATATTTCATTGTACCATATCCTAAAAGAGAACTGAGCTGGAATTGAGCTTCAAATAATATACATAAAGATCTTCCCAGAAAGGTTAACCAGGAACCTTTTTTCCCCCTCCTCATGTCTCCTTCCACTGCAGGGAACTCAGTACAACTCCAGCCCCTCCACTCCTTTGTTCACTTCTATCACTGCGATGTAGAGTGACTGACTGATAAGCTTAGCAAGAGCAACTAGCATTCTAGCCAGTTCTGTCATTCTCTTCAAGACAAGCTTACACAAGTTTACACACATAAACATGCATGCTCTACTGTTCTCCAAGCCATTCACTATGCAAGGGCCCATTTCTGCAGGCAGAAAATGTTTTGGCTCCAGTTCTGTCAATAGCCTATTGTTACAGCCTGAACTGGGATCTAGATAGAGTAGTACGTAGCCCTTACCTTAAGCAATGGCCTTCAACATAGCCATTTTTATAATGAAGGTAATACTCTATTTGTTGGGAGCCCTTCGGAAGACATAATACCTGGAAATTGGTAACCTTACTCTTGAACACTTATCATAAGGAACACCCCTCAACAGGAAACACTGTTTTTAAAACACACGATGATGGGGCTGGCACCATGACGTAGTAGGTTAATTCTCCACCTGCGGTGCTGGCGTCCCATATGGGCGCCAGTTCTAGTCCTGGCTGCTCCTCTTCCAATCCAGCTCTCTGCTGTGGCCTGGGAAAGCAGTAGAAGATGGCCCAAGTCACTGGGCCCCTGCACCCACATGGGAGACCAGGAAGAAGCTCCTGGCTCCTGGCTTCAGATCGGCGCAGCTCCAGCCGTTGCGGCCATTTGGGAAGTGAACCAACAGAAGGAAGACCTTTCTCTCTGTCTCTCCCTCTCACTGTCTGTAACTCTACTTCTCAAATGAATAAATGAAATCTTTTTTAAAAAAAAAAAAACACGTTGATAAATACTATAGTAATTATAGTAATGAAAATCCGCCAGAATCTAAATAACCACTACTAGGGAAAATCAACAGATTAAGCCACATAATAAATATAATGCAATCATTAAAATGGTATTTCTAAAATATGGTATAATAATATAGGAAAATGCTTTTGAGGTGATGTCAGAATCAATCTGAAAGAAGAATGAAATACAAAATTCTTACGATAGTCTTACAAGTCCCTATTTGCCTTGATTTCTGATTTCATTTTTTAATCTATTTTTTTAAACTTTTCCATGATTCTCCTGGGTTTCACTCCATTTCTTAACGAAGCCACATGTCCATGCATACAGTTAACTGAGTAGCTCCTTTTTACCCCATGTCTCTAGTTAAATGCCACTTTCTCCAGGAATATATAGCTGCTCCTCCCTCTGATGACCTCCCCCCATTGTTATTTTCACAGCATTTTACTTTATGTTTGGCACTTATTACCATTGGCTTTGCTTTACTTATTTCGGTTTCTACACCTGGCAGAAGGTAAGGTCCAGGAAGGCAAAAAAAAAAAAAAAAAAAAAAAAAAAAACCTCATTTTGTTCCCTACTACATTCCAGAATTCACAGCAATGTTGATACAGAGTATGCTCAACAAATGTGGATCTGAACAAAGAAAAACTTAAAATAATACACCACAAATAAAAACACTAATCATACAAGAAGGGAATTTTAGAAAGAAACATTAATTTTAATGGGAACTAAATCATGCCAAAGCCATGAAGCCAGGGCCATGGACGTAGGACAGAAGCAGCAACAGTGAGCTAAGAAACGTGCATACTGCTTCCAGTCCCATCTCAAACAAAGCAGTGAGGCTGGTTTCCTTGTTTTCTCCATTGGTTTCTATCCAAATTTTTTTAAAGGGGGTTGTGGCCTTAAAATATTTTAAAACAATATATCAGTGTGGCATCAATATGAGTGCACCACCTAAGATGTGGAGAACAGAACAGTAAAGCCAGTTACTTGAGTATGAACTAATTATGATGGGCAACACTGGAAGAAAGCGAGATTAATATTTAAAGAAAATCACACACACACACACACACCCCTCAAACTTTCCTAAAATAAAGACACAGGGAAGGGCTAGAAGTAAGCAAAAAGAAAAGCAAAACAAAAGAAACCAAAGCTATTTACATATGTCTATATTGAAAGCTTCAAAAGTGATCTGTGTTTCCTAAAACTCAGTTTGCCATACCTGGCCAGAATCCCCGGTGCAGTATTCAGTAATGTCACACCCATTCACAGCATCCCGGCATTCATACCCACGTGGCTGAAACTGCAAGTAAAAATTCAATATTAGAAGTTACAACTAATTAATATTTCAAAATTAACATTCATATACTCATCAATAATCCTATATTCTCATAATCATCACCTTATTTTTATGAAGAATCAAGATAGTTACAGAATATTAATAAGGCTTAGAGGCTAATCTCTATATAAAGATGAATCAACACCAAGGCATTAAATGTTCAAATCTCAAAATCCACTGTCTCAGAGCATTATTTTAAAAAAACAATATATGTAAGGAAAAAATTATGGTTTGGCTTAAGACAACATAGCAAAATATCATATTACAAACAATTAAGATCTTTCTAAATGTTTGACATACCTTCCCTATTTAGTTATTAGCTGGGATATTAGTCTTGCCCTAGGTAACTACACAAAATAAAATTTTAATGAATTCATATGAATCAGTGATACCCATGAATGCCTATCACATACAAAACATTTTGCTTGTTTTGGGCAGGGATGGGTAAAAAGTGAAGGAAGTGCATTAGTATCAAGCAATCGATAGTCTGGGAGGGGACACAAAACCAGTATAAACTAAGCTAGAATCTTTCAGAACACCATAATGCATAGTGCCTCTTGGTATAAAACCAAAGCAAAAAACATAAACAAAAGACAAAATCATACAATTTTACTCCTATAAGGAACATTAGAGGTTTTGTACACAGGAAGAAGGAAGATTTAAAAAATGACTTTTCAAAAATAACTGGAGGCCACATAGATATTAGAGTCCATGTGTACACAGACACACAAAATGTGTCTGTATACACATATAAACATACACAATTACTTCCTCATTTGGGTTCCTGCCTTATAGGAAATTTAAAAAGCCACACTGGAGACAGGCATTTGGTAAAACAGTTAAGCTGCCACTTGAGATTCCCACATTAAAGTGCCCAAGTTCACGTTCTAGCTCCATTCCAAATTCTAGTTTCCAGCTAAAACACACCCTAGAAGGCAACAGGTGATGGGTAAAGTAGTTGGGTCCCTGCCAACTCTCTCTCTCTCTCCCAAAATAAATTTAAAAAAATAAAAGAACCAGGGGTAGGTGTTTGCAACCTCTTAAGATGCACACATCTCATATCAGAGTACCTGGGTTCAAGTCCTTGCTCCCCTTTCTATTCCAGCTTCCTGTTTATGTGCACCCTGAGAGGCAGCTGGTGATGATCCAAGTACTTGGGCTCCTGGCTTTGACCTGGCCCAGCCTTAGCTGCTGTGGGCATTTGGGAAGTGAACCAGAAGATGGAAGATCTCTCTCTTTCTCCCTCTGCCTTTGAAATAAATATCTTTTAAAAAGTTAAATGGAAAAATATGAGCACTATTTTTTATGCTCTAGGTTTAAAATAAATTGGGACAAGTTTTGAAGAAAATGTTATAAGTAGGTCATATTATTTAAAAGACCATAGGAATTGTCCCTCTTCTATTTAACAATTTAATCTGGTTTTCAACTATGCTAGTAGGGTAACTGTCAATGTTTATTTTTGAAGCAATCTTAGTATATTTTCTTAAGGAGGCATCAGAGGATAAGATGGTCAATAGTGAATAATAATAAAGATAAATGTTGTGACCCACTGAATTTGATAGATTTATTGACTCTACAAAGCTGCTAGGCAAATATGCACAACGTAACCAACAAAGTGGTGACAGGATCAATGTACACCTTGAGATATTTGGCTAATCTGTCAGATAAAAGAAAGATGCGACCGTCAGGAGACTCACGAGACATGAGGTATTGTTGCAGCAGGGCCCATCGCTGCAGTGGGCTCCATTGGAGAGGGAGCATTTCTTACAGCACAATCCATAGCATTCCTTGGGAAAACAAAGAACCTTAGTGACTACTTGTCCAACATTCTCCCCACGTGAGACTCTGTGAATAATGCTAATGATCACATTTGTATAAGCATAAGCAAACATTTTAGCAAATAATCACTTTCAAACATGGTAGACTCCCACCTGTCATATTCCCAACCAGATATGATCTTCTAGACCAAGCCTATCTACTGAGAGCTGTGCTTACTTCTAGGTAGGCAACCCACTCCTGGTTAGGTCTACTATACTCTTAATAAACAACCAGTTCTGTGACAACAAAAATAGTACACAGCACAGGGAAAATGTTTCATAATTTGGAACAATTTGTCCAAGCTGAATATTACAGTATGAAATTTTAAGAGGTAAGGAATCTGATTAAAAGAATCCATTAGGATTTTTCAGACAAGGCCATAAGCATATGACTAAATCTAATGTGTTTGAGCTGGGATTAAGCATTGATCTGGGAGATCAGAAAGGAGAGCAGTAAAACCACAAGGAATGATAGCATGAACCTCTCACTAATGCTACTCTAGTTAGCTCTGGGTAAGAGCTGTGATGAACAAAAGGAAGGCCTCTTATACGTACCACGTGGAAACCGCAATCACATTCCTCCCCAGCCTCTACATATCCATTTCCACATTCTGTGGGCTCAAACAGCTGAAAGAGATTAGGGAGGGGGAGGTAAAATGCTTTAATTTATCACAGAAAAACACACCAACCAGATCACAAACACGGCCATACAATCGACTATCACGTGCTATTCTTCCATGATCTATTGTTATGGCATCTTATCGATGATGTATTTGTGGGAAATACTGTTCACTCATTAACAACACTTCTAAAAAAAACCTGTTGAAAGGGGGGATAATATCTCTCAGGGATTCTCTAGTGGCAGGCCCTGGAGATGCCCTCCAGCATTAGAGGCACTCTTTACGGAGAGAAGCTGTCAAGAGGAGTGGATCACTTTTCATTTTTGCTAATGGAACTGAAATGCATTGCTAATAAGACTTACAGACATCTAACTTGCTGACTTGTCTCAAAGCAGCTGAGAAGACATAAAAATTGTCAAAAAATTAAGTATGTTTCAGTCACTGCCGAATGTGAAATGTACAATCAAGTAAATGAAAACAAATTTAGGGGAAAAAATGGTGATACAAATCCAATCCCATTATTCTCATGAAAACAAAAAATCTGCTCTGTCTGATACTTCTTAACTCAATGTGCAGACACATGCATGGATGTACAGAAACCTCTGAAATGATGAAAGAGTCAAATTTCAAGAACAATCCACCCTACTGACACCATGAACTTGCTTACCAAATAAACTCTATTACCTGAGAAAAACATCTACTCCCCACCACTCAGGGCAGGAGCTCCCTGGGCATGATCACCACTCCTGGGTGAAGAGCAGGACAGCAAACCTCATCCCAAATGCCAGAGACATGAATATTAGAGGGAGAAAGAGATTCTGTCCCCAGCAGCTGGTCACACCCCAACAAAGGGTTGCCTTCCATGAGGTCACCTGAGAAAGACTGGATCCACCTTCTATTTCCAGAAAGTCAAGGCTATTCTAAGAAGCAAATAAGGTTCCCAGACAACTTGGGTGGGACTCCCCAGGGGAAAGTCCAAATCAGCAGTCCCAGTCTCTGTGGGATTTTGATCAGCAGGCAGGGGGAGAACGGAAAAGGGAAAGGCCACGACAAGCACTTTGTATCAGGATTCTCATCCTTTCACCCTCGGATATTCCCTCCATCCTGAGATAGGTCACTGTCAAACCAGATGGAAAACATGGAATCCCAAAGCACAGAAAACGTATACATAGATACTGTGAAGATAACACAAAACATGTGCAAATAGACACTCACTCTCCAAGAACACTTGGGAAAAAGTCATGTCTTTGATGTTTACAGATAAATTATTTCCTGAAATTCACAGGTTTTTTAAAAAATCTTTGTAATATTCATATTATATGTCTAAAGAGTTAATAAAAATAGTTTTTAAGAATTCTCTATGTTTCTGTCTGCAGTGTAGCCTCATCGGTAAAGATTAATAAGAGAAGTGTGCAGCTCTCTTGGAAGAATTGGCTCTTCTCCCCAGGAAAAACGTACTCTTGACAAAGCATTTTTTTTTTTTTTTGCATACATGGTCTCTGTCAGAACCCGGTCAGTTTTGACATAGACCACCAGAGCCAAGTCACGTATGAACAAACATAAATAATGAAAGGAATATCACTTTCATATGAAACTAATATTTAAGTTTCCCCCAGTTCCATGCAAGTTGGAACCTCATCTGCAAGGAGGACACTGGGAACTTCCCCAGTCGGACCCCGAATGCTGTCTTCAGTACTACCCAGCCCTTCGCTTCAGGTCTTCCTTGCTGTCCCATCTGGTGATGGAACAGTCTCTCCATGCTTTCCTTTGTTCTTCTTTAACAATAAGTTTTTGCTTAATTACTGTTATGAGAGGTCGTTATTGTCTCGGAATTCAAACTTCTGAATTTGTGGCCACATCATGTAATGCTTTAACATTACAATGTAATAATTTTCTATTCACTAACTTTAAAAACAGAAGATGTGCAGTTAATTTTACTTAGTTTCCAAGTTATTGGAATAATCTTCTTCCTATCTACAGGCAATTTCAGAAATCCAATGATGGATCCTTGGGCTTAAACCAGACACTTTCATATCCAACCAAGAAGGTGCTGTTTTCTCAGGCATGATACTTTTTAATTAGCTGATAAACTCCAAGGTAAGTAGAATTAGCCAAGTCCATTATAATTTAAAATCCTAGAAGCTCACATTAGCTTATTTCACCCATTTAAACACATTGAAGCTTTCAGATTTCTGCTGCAATGAGATCGATGCCGTGAAAGGCAGGCTGCCTACTTCAGTGATGCAAGATCACTTCAACAGTCCAATTTATTTTTCTGTAGCCTTACTGAGATTTTATAAAGATGTCAGGCATCACGTTCTCATTCCCTGACTTCAGCAGTACCACTCAATTATTGGTATGAAATAAATTTTTCTGTCATTTATCCACGTAAGTCACTGATTTTAAAAAAAACTTAACATGATTTTACTGCTCTCTCATTGCAGAGTATTAAACATTTCATGTTGCAATGAACTATGTTTGATTTCAAAATAGCATTGTTAAAGGAAATATGAAATTTGCCATGTTAGAATTTCTCTACTATCTACCAATTAGCAATAATCCCATCTTTCTGCCTGTTGAGTCACTTCCATTTCCAAAAATGTTACTATATCATAGGTCCACGGATGTATCCAAAAGCTGTACAGCCAATGAGTTTGAGAATTATGGCTTTGCTGGATTTTAGACAGTATGATGCATTTACAACATTCTGTGTAATAGTCCCAAGAAGCCTGGGGCTCATCCTATAAATAAAAACATTCACATTTCTGCAGTAAAACTTATGAATATTTATACTATGAGGAATGAAGATTTTCAGTTTGGAACGAGTTTTACTGTCAAATATGTTTTTCTGTGAGCTCATAAAGAATTCTAGAAATTTTCAGTTTTTAAATTAAGAATTTTTGGATAAGGGACTGTGACATTGAGTATACAAATTTTGATGAAATGTCAGTTGACAAGATGAACCCCCTCAGGTAAAGAGACTACGCAATATAAATACATATATGTATTTATGGCATCCGTAAATACCTTGGACAATTTTCTAGATAGCATTAATAGTAATGCTTTCTGCCTAAGAAAACAGACCACATACACACACCCCAATGGAATAGATTCCAGAAATTAATCCACATATCAACAACCAAATGATGTTTGACAAAAGTGCCAAAAACATACACTAGAGAATGACTGCCTCTTCAATAAATGGTGCTAGAAAACTGGATATTCATACACATAAGACTGAAATATGATCCCACCACCCCTCACTGTATTAAAAAAAAAAAAGCAACACAAAATAGACCAAATATCTAAAGATTAGACACCAAACTACTGGAAGACATATGGAAACACTTCAAGATATTTGTACAGGCAATGATGTTTTTGGCTAAGACCTCAACTGCACAAGTAGTAAAAGAGGCAAGTGGAATTATATCAAAAATTAAAAAGTTTATACAGGAAGAAAACAATCAAAAGAATGAAGAAACAACTGAGAGAATAGAAGAAAATATTTTCAAACTATTCTTCTGACAAAGGATTAATATCAAAATATATAAGGAACTCAAAACACTCAGCACCAAAAAATTTTTTAAAATACAATCTAGTTAAGAATTGGACAAAGGATCTGATAGATATTTCTCAGAAGAAAAAATATAAATGACCAACAAATACAAGAAAATTCCTCAACATCACTAGCCACAAGGGAAATGCAAATCAAAACCACGATGAAATATCATCTCATTCCATTTAGAATGGCTATTATGAAAAAAAATAAGTAAATGCTGGCTGGTAAGGATGGGAGAAAAGGGAACCCTTAAATACTGATGTTGAGAATACAAATTAGCATAACCACTATGGAGAACAGTATGGAGGTTCCTTAAAAAATTAAAATAGATCTACCATATGACACAGCTACTCCACTTCTGGATATACATCTAAAGAAAATGCAGCACTATTCATAATAGTGAAGATATGGAAGCAAACTAGATGTCTACTAATGGACACATGGATGAAGAAAATGTACACATACACAACGGAGTATCATTCTGCCATAAAAGAATGAAGTCCTGTCATTTTCAGAAACATGGATGGAACTGGAAATCTTTATGTTAAGTTAAATAAGACAGTCACAGAAAGACAAATGCTATACCTTATCCATCATATGTGGAAATAAAAAAAAATCAATCTGATCTTAGATAATGATTATTAGACTTTGGGAAGGGCGGATTGAGGAAGGATAAAGGGAAGTTGTATAATAGATAACAAAACACAGAGAAATAACAAGTTCTAGTGCTCTAGCATGGTGTGGTGACTAAAGTTCACAATAATGTATCATACACTGTGCAAAGAATTGGAAAAGAGGGGTTGGTAGGTTCCAAACAGTAAGATTAGGAAATGGAAAAGCTAGCTGCCTACTTTGATTACCTTACACTCTATATGTATTGAAATATTATCCCATAAAAATTTACAGACATTGCATGTTATTCAAAACATTTTTAAATAAAGTATTTTAAGTTAAAAATCAGTTATGCTCCTAGAAGGAATGCTATCAGATAAACGGGCTACAATAATATACTGGTTCTTTGAACAGTTCATGGAAGATGGAATTAAAAGATGAGCTTATTTAGGTGCTAAAATTTTTTTGATATCCACGCATAATTTTTCATAATATACATTTCCACCAGGTTTGTGAAAGCTCCTTGTATTTCATCTTAACCGAACCTATCTCTTAGCATCAGGGTAAAAATCCCAAAAAGAAAATTTCAAGGATATTTTAATGAAAGGATTTTTGCTTTGGTGGGGGGAGGATTTGGGAGACTCTGAAGACTGACTCTACAGTTTTTTACTCATTTAAATAAGACTCAGTCTTCAACATTGTGTAATCAAGTATGAATCTGACAGACAAGAAACCCTCTTTCCAAGACAAGTATCTGATGCTCAGCACTGTTTCACTGCTAAACATTGCAGAAGTGATCACACTTTCTAAGTTACTAACCTTTGTCGGTCTGTTGAAAAGACAGGCTCCACCCCCTCTCAGCAGAAAGTCTCTATACTCCAAAATGCTGCATTTTGAAAATTTTCGGGAATGAGATACCCTGAGGAAACAAAGAATCAATCATGTAAATAGCTTGCCAAAAGCAGTCATCAGAGAAGAAAACTCCTGAATTAGACCGGTCACTCTGGATTCAGATGAATGTACATATTTTGGACAAGGTACTGATATTCAAATTGTCAAGGAAGTTCGTGTGATAGAATTTCAAAAAAAAAAAAAATAAAAGAAAGAAAGAAATTCATAGACAAATCACAGAATTGGAGGCTAGGTTACAACCTTCTCAGCAGTTAAACCCTTTTTTCGACACAGCTTGAAACGATGTTTTTCAAAAATTCATCACAAAATGTCGTCACTGAGGCTGTATTTAAAAGTGTGATTATTTCTATTTGCTGTCTCAGTAAAGGCTGTGCTGCCTCTCTCCAGAATAAAAGGAGCTCATGTCCCAATCAGAAGAGTTGTGAAGGTCAATTTATTAAAGACAATGTATTGCAGGCTTTTATAATGCAACTCAGGTTATTAAGGAAACCCTAAAGAGATGTTACATATGAGGGTACTTGAAAAATTTTGAGAAAAATGGAATATAAGTTTATTTTGGTGCAAGAAAAAAAATTTTTTGACAGGCAGAGTGGACAGTGAGAGAGAGACAGAGAGAAAGGTCTTCCTTTTCCGTTGGTTCACCCCCCAATGGCCGCTGCAGCCAGCACACGCTGCGGCTGGCACACTGCGCTGATCCAAAGCCAGGAGCCAGGTGCTTCCTCCTGGTCTCCCATGCGGGTGCAGGGCCCAAGGACTTGGGACATCCTCCACTGCACTCCCGGGCCACAGCAGAGAGCTGGACTGGAAGAGGAGCAACTGGGACAGAATCCGGCGCCCTGACTGGCACTAGAACCCGGGGTGCCGGCGGCACAGGCGGAGGATTAGCCTATTGAGCCGCGATGCCAGCCTGTGCAAGAAAATTTTAAAATCTATGCATTATTTTTCATAATACACATTTTGATGACTATCTGCATGAATTTCAGAATTTTTCTCACCAAATTAACTTACCTTTCAATCCTGCTTTCCATAAACTTTTGGAAGTACCCCAGTACATATGTACATATGTCTTTAGTGTGTACGTAAACATACAATGAAAATAGAATTAGGGTGAGTGGCCATGGATAACAACTCCTTGTTCTTAATTTCTAATACCACTTGGTGGTAGTCAGGATTTAGCAAGAACATAAAATGAGTCTCTCTGCAATTTACTTAATCAAATTAATATCTGTATGTCAGTACACAGGTGGCTATCCTACACAAGGTCAAGGGTCAGCTAAATCATAGACAGTGATTCCTTAGAAATATTTGATTTGAGAATGGCAGAACACTTCCTCTGGGAAATAATCCAATGGGTTAATGTGTTCTGATGGATAAGGGTAGTTTATATGTGATCTCTTACCAGGACTATATGGAAATATGTACTTAAAAGAGTAAACATACCTTTAAATAGTTTTATTATATTCTACAGATAGTCCAAAGACTCACTTAGAAATTGGGAGTGTAAAAGAGAGAATACTTCTTATAGAAACCAACGCTGCCATATTCTTACAGCAGTTCTCTGAAAAGCATGTGTACACCATTAATTCTTAACCATGGAACAACAGTAAGGGGACCATGGAAACTGTTTCAAGTTTTAACTACACTTCTAGAAACATATTCTAAGGCAGAGGGAATAATGGCTGACTCTGGCAAACCCTCACTTTCATACTCCGCTTCTCCCCAGGAGCTGCACTCCTGGGAGGGTCTGCTAGGAAGATCAGGAAGGGCTCTGCACAGCAGGGCAGGTTCTCTGGCAACCCAGGCCCAGGAATGGGGTAGGGCCAGAAAGGGAAAATGTGCTGGGCAGGTGTCCAATAAGGCAAAGAAAACAGGAGAGGCACAGGGGTGAAGAAACCTCTCTGCCTCCTAGGACTGGGCTATAGAGCTTAGGGGCAGTGGGGCATAGTGGTTCCACGGAGGCAAAGACCTCTGGGAAAGCGGGCAATATTTCCAGGCCTTGGTTCACTGAAGCAATCGCAGCTCTGGGGAAGCTGCTCTAGTTCCCAAAGTATCTGCCAGACAGAAGAGAGGATAGATGAGGGGATGTTCAAGTTCTTTCATAGAAGACTGCCTAATTTAGACACAAATCTGTCTTAATAATTAAAAAGTTTCATGGATTAGAGAAGCATTATAGTAGTATTTTATTGCTGTAAATATACATGTACAAGTTCCTTAAAATGTAAGTTGATGACTAAAAATGTAAGTTGATGACTAAATTGATTTTTACTGCCTGTGTCAGGTAGACAACCAGCTTTTATTCTAAGTGTACTAAAAAATTAATGTCTTTCCTAAACTTAGAAGCATTTAGTAACGTGCTTCCTTTAAGGGTTAATGAGAAGTAAAGGAGCTACAACACTTTGCTTTTATCACCAACCTTAAATTAAAAAATTAAAATATAAAATGAATTAGTCCTTTCTGTTTTAAAATACAGGCAATTAATTATTGGATTTACACTAAGTGCTTAGCTAAAAGACCAAAACTTGAAAGCTTGTCTCTACGTAACAATTTTAGCAGAAAGCATGTATCAAATACAGACATAATAAAATCTTACCCTGTTTCCTCCATGATGCAGCCACCCCAGGATTCTGTGCAGTCACATTCTAGTCCAACAAACAATAAAAAGCAGCAGAGGAAAAAGGAAACAACAAAATTTACATCTTCAGATTACATATCAGCCCTTGTAAGAATTCCGTATTGCCAATTCCATGCTAAATAAAAACAGAATGCAAAGTCTCATAGAACAAGATTGATTTCTTTTAAATTAATATGTCCTTATCCTTTTTAGAAGTATAGGTTGCTGGCTAAGAAACCAATCTACAATAAATAAAATTATTATTTCATTTTTATAACTCAAACAATTCAATTACATTCCCAGTTCCAACAATCAGCAACATATACCCTAATCTAGAAACTAGAAAGCCTATGTTAGGGGCTGGCGCCATGGCTCACTTAGTTAATCCTCTGCCTGTGGTGCCGGCATCCTATCTGGGCGCCGGGTTCTAGTCCCGGTTGCTCCTCTTCCAGTCCAGCTCTCTGCTGTGGCTGGGGAGGACAGTGGAGGATGGCCCAAGTGCTTGGGCTCCTGCACCTGCATGGGAGACCAGGAAGAAGCTCCTGGCTCCTGGCTTCGGATCTGCATAGGTCCGGCCCTAGTGGCCATTTGGGGAGTGAACCAACAGAAGGAAGACCTTTCTCTCTGCCTCTCTCTCTCTCTCTCACTGTCTATAACTCTACATGTAAAATAAAAAATTTTTAAAAAAAGACAAGTGAATGCCTATGTTCTAGTTCAAGTTAATAGGCAAGTGACAATATTTCATGGATATCAATGCTTCCATTTCTATACTGAGCCTATTCGCCAGAGCGAATTTGAGGTTTATACATGATAGTGTGCCTATGTGCTCTCCATGAACTGTGAAACTATGCAGCCCAAATGCAATGAATCATCACTGAAGTCCTTAGAACAGAGAGCACTGGAAATTAAAGAATTCAATTTGCTAGAGGCAAAGCAAGGATCTGCCAGGGACTTGATGAAAGTTTAGTATAAGAGACCAATCTAAAATAGAGGGGTATATAATTACTTAAATTAAATAACAAACATAAATATAACTTACTCAGATACTAGAGATTTACATTTTAATATCATGATAGGCTTGTCTCTTCATCTGTATTTTCCTATTCTGTGTTCTATCATGAGGAAAGTTATTTTTTAAAAAAAAGACCTGCAAGTGCGTTTTTAAAAATTCACAATTCAAAGCTAGTGAATTAGCTGCCTACACAGTTGACAAAATAATTAAGAATTTTTGGGAAGCCATCAGGGATGAACTTTATTTCTTATCATACTCCACTATCCAATGGAGTAACACCTCTAAGCTGACCCTAGCACTGGCCTCTTGCTGGCCCCAAGGTTTTCAAACAAGGTAATAAACCTAATTATACTTCTTTCTAATTGTGAGACATCTATGCCAGCTGATGAAACTCCAACATTACCTTTAATATGTACTGGGTGTTTCCTTGGGAAAGCAAATACTTTGAGTGTGATACTAATAAATGAATGTGGGAATCTGCAGAAAGCACTAGACACCTGTGATAACCATGTAACTTGATGATAATGTATCCCTTAAGGGAACCAAGAAGCCCATGGATATACATTTTATTTCAATTTTTTCCTAATATTATGCATAACTGACATAAAAGTATGAAATGCAGGCATGTTAAGGTGGATTTTGCCCTTATCTTCCCTGAGGAAGTAGGGGTGGGAAGGGAGACACTTATTCCCAGCATCTCATATTTTCACAGGAGGGAGGGGACTTCCACTTAACTGGATAGTTCAAGTGAACACAATGATCTTTCTACAAGATCACATCATAACATTTGTGGACCCTGACACCACAAAAATATGCTAAAAATTATGATGTACTACCACGTTTGTATAAAGAGAAATACCAACCAAGTTGGAGTATATTCTGATTTTTAAAGAAATTAAAATTTTTCATGGACTCCTAAAATTATGTTGAGTCCATGAAGCCAGCATTTTGGTGCAGCAGGTTAAGCTGCTGCCTGCAGCAGAGTCCCAGCTATTCCAATTCCAATTCTGGCTGCTCAACTTTTGCTCCAGCTCTCTGCTTGTATACCTGAGAAGGCAGAGAAGATGGCCCAAGTCCTTGGGTCCCTGCCTCCCATGTGAGAGACCTGGATGGAGTTCCTGGCTCCTGGCTTCAGCCTGGCCCATATCAACCCTGGCCACTGTGGCCATTTTGGGAGTAAACCAGTGGATGGAAGATCTTTCTCTCTACTTCTCACTCTCTCTCTCTCTCTCTCTCTCTCTGTAACACTGTCTTTCAGATAAATAAATTAATCTTTAAAGAAATAACGTTGAGTCCTAGATCTTTTGCCCACACAACAAGTCAGCCCCTCTTTCCTTCTACCTCTCATCTGATTCGTGAAAAAAGTGACAGCTAACAGTCATGTGACACACTTTCCTGCTGGATGGGATCTCTGGCTCATACTCCCTCTCACTCATCTCCACCCTCCCCCCACAAGAGGAGAATCCTAGCCTCTACTACCTGTATGCTCAAAAGGCCCAGGGGGCAGGATCTTCCTGTAGCACCTCCTCTAACTTTTCTGATGCAATCAGATGGAGTTTAATCAGAGTTTAAATCTGAGCTCTTTTTGGACTCCATGTCTAAGTTATTTCCCAATCGAATGATACTATTGCTAACTTTGTGATGGAGCTTCATCTAGTGTCTTGTGTCTATTCAACTGGTTAGAGGCCAGAGGGTAAGTATTTACTATCTCCAGTTCTAACATTGTTCAGTGTGAGAAAGAGCTAATGCATGTGCTAAGAAACTGGATACGATTTAAGAATTCTGAAAATTCTGCACCCTAAACAGATTAAGAATGACCTCAAGTTGCTCATCTTATAAATCTTTTAGAGGAAAGTGATAAACTACAATTAAACTATAATGACTTAGAATGGAGAGTATTTAGTGACTGGACATGCATTGTACAGAGAGAATGACACATAAAAGTGAGTAAGAAGATCGATGTACGTACTTGGCTTTCTGCTAGAAGGTTCCCATTGGATTCCAAGGTTTTGAGCCAGGCTCTGCGATAATACTTGTGCCACTGCCATTGGAAGACCATACTGTTTTTCAGAGTTGAAAGTGTGTGGGAAACATTTGAGAGAGTGCACAGAGCTAGTTATTATTTCTTAATTGTCACCATGTATCATCTCAGTTCCCTAAGCAGAGCCTCACAGCATCTAAGCATGGCATATGCTCCTTATCACTTCTTCCTTGCAACTGGGCTCAAGAAGCAGAAAGCCCTGCTCACTGTGTGGCAGCTCTTAGAACTTGAAATTCTTACACATAGAAACATAAAATACAAATCACAGAAGGCTGTGCTCCACCAAGAATACATTCAACTTACTACAGATACATAAATAGCTGAATTACAGCTATTGGGATAACCTGATACCACACATTCCAGTATCAATCAGATATAATTTAGATATAATTGGTTAGGGTTTTTTGGTTTCTGTTGCCAACTGAGAATTCCCTTTAGAAAAATTCAAAAAATTTGTTTCAACCTGTTCCACAAGTAGGTAGAATGAATAAATAAAGATTTTAGTTGGAAGAAGGAAAAGATGCTAACACTGTAAACCCATTGATTTAAACGAGTTAAATCTAGCATGGGTAGAAGAGTACTATAACTAAAAAAGGGGGGAATTAGGAGCCTATAAAAACTAAACTCTTTATCTATAGGGCCCTAAAAATCTCTGGGCCAACCTTTGGTTTGTATTTGCCTGATAAATATAAAAAACTACCACTGAGATACCCAAAAATATCATTATGAACCTAAGAGACCACTTTGGATTACATCTGATAGTAAAAGCCACTCACGCTACATTCTCAATGTCATCATTCTAACAAACATAAGATGGATGTAAACTGGGCAATAGGGAAGAAAGAAAAGGGTCTATTTTATGAATATTGACAAAATTTACCTCATTCACACCAACTCCTCTTGTGCGAGAACAGACACCTCCAAAGAAACTCAGACTGCTTCTCTTATAGTGGAATGTCACACGCCTTTAAAAACAAAGTGCTATTAGAAAAAGAGTGGTCATTATATAAACTCTCCCCAAACACAAACACTCTTCTACTCCGAACATCCCCAAACCATCCTCCTCCAACTAATCAAAAATTGCATTTTAAATATATGTTGTTATAGTTGCTTTAAAGTTATGTTATATTGAATAATTTCAGCTGAGCAAGTATTAACTGAACATCAGATTCTGGCACAGAAATTGAAAACACAAAGATAAAAGAGATCACAACCCTTGACTTTTTTCTAGTTTGATGTATATAGCAAAATATTGCTATAAATTGCTGATTAAAGACAGAGAAGGGGCTGGCACTGTGGTGCAGTGGGTTAACGCCCTGGACTGAACCACCAGCATCCCATATGGGCACCGGTTCTAGTCCTGGCTACTCCTCTTCCGATCCAGCTCTCTGCTATGGCCTGGGAAAACAGTAGGAGATGCCCTAAGTCCTTGGGACCCTGCACCCACGTGGGAGACCTGGAGGAAGCTCCTGGCTCCTGGCTTCAGATCGGCGCAGCTCTGGCCATTGTGGCCAGTTGGGGAGTGAACTATTGGATGGAAGACCTCTCTCTTTCTCTGCCTCTCATTTCTCTGTGTAACTCTATGACTTTCGAATAAATAAATAAAATCTTAAAAAAAGAGAGAGAAAACACAAGGAGAAAAGGGCAAAATCGAGAGGGAAATAAGAAGTATTTTGTTTTGAGTCCAGAGTCTTAGAGGACTGTCTGAAAACATCTATACATGTGGTACCCTTTTTCTTAGTAAGGAAAAGTTCATTTTATTCTCTAGCTCTTCTAAAAAGTCTACATTTTCTATTCTTTTACAGTTGGGTCTGGCCTTATCACTATTCTCTAGCAAATGATCTATTGATGAACTGACTCAAGAAGTCTGCTTTACAAGAGCCAACTAAGCTGGGAAAAGTGCCTTTTTGCCCCTTCCGCTGCCTGTCATTCTTCCAGACTGTAACAAAGGCAGCAGTTCCAGCAGCTATCTTGGATCATGTGTTCCAGCTTGAGGATGGAAGGTACATGTGCTAGAATTAGCAGCTGTGGAACCAGTAGCATCTCAGCACTGACATCCCACCTCCATGCTTCTTATATGTCAGAGAGAGGACCTAACAGAAATCTTGTTCAAGTCACGACTTCCTGATATGCAACTTAACTAGTACAACAAAGGGATAAAGATCAATGTCAAACTAAAGACTACAATAAAAGCTGCAGTGGGTACATACGAGATGAGGTGCACCGCGTCAGCGTGCTGCTTGATACGCTGCCGGTATTTGGAGAACTCATGGAGCATCTGCACAGGGTTGTTGGTGATGTCAATGTGATCCTTCTCAGTCCAGGTCTCCACAGCCACCAGGACAACCCTGGTGTTGAGCTGCTCCTTATAAATCTGAGGGTATACAACAGGACAGGTGCAGGAGGAAAACACTGGGTCAAACATGCACGTTCAGTGAGTTAGTCAGTGGAAGGACAGGAAGGGAGAGGTGAGAGGAGAACATGGGGTCATAATTAGCTCATCACAGAGAATCTTCCTTTTCTTTCTCCTAACCAAGAGCAAAAGTAAAGAAAGAGAAGACAATCAATCACATGCATTCTCATGTCACCAACTCTCCTTATTTCAATCCAGATCAGCATAGTTAGTGGTCTGGCATTTTATCAGGGGCTGAACAGCAGGAATGTCACGATTTGAAAGTTAGGACATAAATTGAGGATAAGATGCAGTAAAATCGTCTTTCCAAACCTCATAGGAAGTTAACAGGTTGGAACTTGATAATCCAGGTTGGAGTAAGGGCAGTACAACTAGTTATCCCAACAGGCCTGGAATACATCACTAACTCTTTGGACAAGCACCAAATAACATGGCTGGCTTGCCCTTGGAGATCAGGTTACATGAAAAGTAAAATAACACTGGGAGAGAATCACTGCTCTAAGGTCAAAAGACAAAAGAGTGTATTTATGTTCCTCATCTCATTCTCAACAAAACGTGAGTTGCTACCTTTTTGCTCTCTTGCTCTACTTTGGCCCAATAACTAAATTGACGCAATTAAGCATCTTTGAATGTTGTGATTTTGTCCTATTGTCAAACTAATTAAGAAAACAGCAAATGATCTTTGAATACACTGAAGGTGAGGAATGCCATATATAATGTCTCTTAAAAGTGAGTGACTGCTTTAGAACCTTAAATGGTAACCCAAAATAAATCATTACATGGAGCAGAACATGTGCTAACCTGACTTACTCCACAAATGCTAACAACTGAACAGCGTCTGCAGAGGCAATGCATTTCAATTCTCTTTCCATATTCACTTATATTTTTCCTCTGAGAACACTAATAAAATCTGAAATTAAAGAAAATTAATAAAACAAGTATAACGGGCTCTCAGAGGTTCAATCCTAACTCTATCTGATATTCTTTTGCACATCTGTGCCTACCAGACACAAATACGTTTATGAGTAGCTGCATGATTGAATGTTTCTGGACCACTGAAAAAGCGGAAACGAGTCTGGTGTTGTGGCACACAAGGTGAAGCCACTGCTGTGACACAGCATTCCATATCAGAAGGCCAGTGCCAGCCCCACATGCTCCATTTCTGCTAATGTGCCTGGAAAGGCAGTGGAGGATGGCCCAAGTAAGTGCTTGAGCCCCTGTACCCAGGTAGGAGAACCAGGATGGAGTTCCTGGCTCCTGGCTTCGACCTGACCTAGATCTGCTGCTGTGGCCATTTGGGGAATAAACCAACAGATGGAAGATTCTCTCTCTCTCTCTTTCTACCTTTCAAATAAATAAATATTTTTAAAAGAACAACTGTTTGGAGTACATAAAGACTATTTAGATGGTTGGCAATTTATAAAGAGTCTTTTTTTTTCAAGTTAAGAGGACATGTACCATAAATATCAGACAAAATAAATTTAGTTGAATATAATAGCATTTCACATTAGAATATATAAAGTAGTATGCTATATTTTATCTATGTATAACTAGTCAAGTTGAATTGTTCATTGGAACATAACATATACTATCCAGATCTATGGAGTCCTACTTAAGGGAAGAAAAAGGAAGAAAAGCTTAACATCATTTTGTGTATCGTTCAAAATGAGAGGAGAAATCATATCAATATAAAAGGTTTGTAGAATTAGAAGTCTTTTACTGCTTCACATTAGTTTTATTCTGGACCTGCACTTAAGTCTGTGACCTAGAAATAAAATCTCAAACATTTCACCACTGGGAACACTCATTTGTGTCCTTAATGAAACAATTACTTCACAAATGCTGTTACCTATATACATCGCTACCTCAATCTATTGATTCTGTTCTGCTAACACCATACGTTTAAGAAAAGTACAACTGATCATCAGGAGTGTCTTGTACCTACTGTAACTCACACTCTCCTGGGAGCCAGGTCTCCTGGCTGCCTTTGTCCTCTGGTGACAATAAGGCCCAGCCATTACTGAGAAGCATTACTAATGCGTCTTTGGGATTACAAGAAGAATTACCAGTCCCCTGTAACTGACAGTAGTACCTCCTGTGAAGCAGCCTGTCCCATCATTTCTTAGCCAGATGAACTTCAGGCCTGCATTTTTACCTTTGTCCAGGAAATAACTGACGTTACAAGTAAGCAAAGAGGGGTAGATATTTAAACCATTCCATATGGGTAACAATCAGTTCAAGAAAACGGAGATACTCACAGAATCCACAAGGTTGACCACAGACTTTGCAAAGTTGTTGGTATGTGCATGAGACGAGCGATGTTTCTTATACTGGGGAGGGGGGAGATAGTGGGAGGAAGAAAAATGTAACAGTCACTGCTAAATCACAATCTGAAGGTAAATTTCACAATTCTGTAAAACGTAAACCTCGTAGCAGCAGTGAACATGCCGTTTAAAAACACAGAATTTAGGGATAAGTACTCAGGACACGTGGGATGCCCATGTACCATATCAGAGCACCTGAGTTTCAGACCTGGCTCCACTCCTGATTGCAGCTTCCTGCTGATGCACACCTAGGAAGCAGCAGTGATGGCTCAAGTACCTGAGCCTCTGCCGCCCACGTGGCAGGTCCAAGTGGAGTTCCAGGCTCTGGCTTCAGCCTGGCTCAGCCTTACTTGTTGCAGGCATTTGGGGAGTGAGTCAATGAATAGGAGTGTTTCTCTCTCTCTCTCTCTGTGTGTGTGTGTGTGTGTGTGTGTGTGTCTTTCTCTCTCTCTCCCTCTCATAAAGGAAATAAATAAATAAAATTATTTTTAAAAAGAAAGTGTCTTGGGCAGCACTTTGATACTGCCCCCAATATGAAATGGATTTGTCATGCGTTGAATACAATTCTTCAGAGGAACGCCTCCTCCAAATGAAACCTTTTGTTCGAATGCGCAAATCAGAGCAAAAAGGAAGCCAAAAAATACAAAAGAATTGTCCAATAGCTTAAGATTATTTATGATTATTTAAGAATATAAATAAAAGCAAAGTAACTAATACTTCTATAACAACAGTTAGAGAGCTATGTTTTTAGCAAGGACTAGTTTATTTATTTATTTATTTATTTGACAGGCAGAGTGGACAGTGAGAGAGAGACTAGTTTATTTTGCTCAATGCGTCTTTAAAAAGACATTTGAAAACTAAAGTCTACCGCAGGAAGATCACGCCCTCTACTGGTCCACGAGGATATTATGTTTTACAACACGAAACAGAAGCACAATGGAAACTATCATAGATTCGCACAAGCCTTTGAAACTAATCTTTAATTATAATTACTCAATAATGCATTTTCATGAAAATTAAAAATATTTCCACATTGGAAAATAATATTCTTCTTTTCCCAATGTCCTACTTTTACCGTATGATTTTGTCAGAACCCTTCTTTTCTTTCTCTACTCTTGTGTCTATGTATTTTAAACAAGGGATGTACGTCTCAACGCTTACACATCTGATATCTAGTTTTTATTACACCAAGACTGCTGTGGCTGATGATAAATGTGTAATAAATTAATTAATATGCTATTAGTAGCATTCACTAATTCATAACAATTTGGTATAATAATATTATTATTCATGTTATTGCTACCACTGTGCATGACAATCTGACCAAAACTGTCTTTATGTGTTCTTTTTGTGGGGAGCAGCCCGGACTGGACTGAGTTACTGGAATTAAGACTTATTCTATGCATCTGCTCTCCCACAATATGGCGCTGGGAGAGAAGTAAACAGCTTCCGCACAGCTGCCTCCAGTTCAACCAATAAACTGTAGGACTTGCTCCTGATTGGAGAGCAGCGTACTCGGCGTGTGGGCAGCCGAGTTAGGATTGGCGGAGGAGGACTATAAAGGAGGAGAGAGACAACATGCACCAGGAACATCTAAGGGGAACATCTGAGGGAACACCTGTGCAGCCCCCCAGAGAGCCGGCCGGCGGTGTGCCGCTCCCCTGCGGAAGTGGGGAATGTGGCCAGGGGGAACTGCCCTTCCACGGAGGTGGAAGGGTCAGTAGCCAACCCGGGAAGAACCAGCAGCAAACCCGGGGAGGGCCGAGCAGACGAAAGAACAGCGCAGGGTCCTGTGTTGCTCCTCCACGAAGATGGGGAGCGACACTTTTAAACTGAACTTCAATGTATGCATGCAACTAGTTCATAAAACATATTAATTTAAAATTTTCAATCACTGTAAAGAGTTTTCTATACTTAGCAAAAGAAGTTTCTGTAATAGCTCCATATTTTAAATTGCCTAGCAAGTTCCACAAGCTAAAAAATCTCAGATACCTTTAAGATTAAAAGTTTCAACATAAAGTTTCGTTGGAGTGATGAAAAGTTTTGGGACTAGACAGAGGTAACTAGCAATTCTACAACATTGTGAAGGTACAAAAATGCCACCAAATTGTAGACTTAAAAAAAAAAAAGTCTTGGTATTATGAAACACACATTACAAAAAGAAAGTACAAACATTAGATAACATCTATTCTAACAGAGTGGTGTTAAACACCCATTAAAGCGAATTTTGTTTTGTTTCTGAATATTAATTTTTCCCTTTCAGATATTTCTTCCTATACTATAATAATCAAAGGAAAAATTACAAGTTTAAAATAAATAAAATGAGGTCTTTGCAAAGTCTATCCAAATAAGCTCTTTCTTCATTTATTGCATAGATTTAATATTCAAGTCTCTCATTTTCTTTTCACAAAGATCACTGTGCTGTGTATAGTTAGGGACTCAGAGGACATCAAGAATGAGAGCAGACAGACCTGCTGGGAAATTGCTGCAATCACTCAGGCAAGAGGTCATAGGGGCCGGACAGCCATAGAGAGAGGGGGCAGATTCCAGAAGCATGATGAAGGGAGATCCCCCAAGACTTGCTCATGTGTAAGATGTGAAATGTGAGCAAAGAGATGCACAAAAGATGACTTCTAGGCTTTGAAACTGAATAGATGGAAAATGGTGGTGCCATTTAAAATAATGACAAAGACTACGGAAAGAAGTTTAGGACTAGGGAGCTAAGAGTTCTGATTTAGAAATGTTAAATGTGGGGCCAGCATTGTGGCATAGCAGGTAAAGCTGCCGCCTGCAGTGCTGGCATCTCAGATGGGCACCAGTTGGTGTCCCAGCTGCTCCACTTTCAATCCAGCTACCTGCAAATGCACCTAGGGAAAGCAGCAAAAGACGGCCCAAGTGCTTGGGCCCCTGCTACCCATGTGGGAGACCTAGAAGAAGCTCCTGGCTCCTAGCTTTGGCCTGGCTCATTCCTGGCCATTGTGGCCATCTGTGGAGTCAACCAATGGATGGAAGATTCTCTCTCTCTCCCTCTCCCTCTCCTTCTCCCTCTCCCTTTCCTTCTCCCTCTCCCTCTCCCTCTCCTTCCCTCCCCCCCATTCTGTAGCTCTGACCTTCAGATAAGTAAATAAATCTTTTTTAAAAAGAAATGTCAAATGCAATATTCCTATCAACTATTGCAATAGAGACATGAGTAGGTGTTGGGAGTTGCGTGTCATGGAAGTTGAGAAATGAAGAAAATGCTTAAAAAAACTGACTGCCCAATGATGCTGAGAGAATAAGATGAGGACAGAAGAGTGACCACCAGACTTGTTCATCTGAAGTGCCGTTTAACTGAGCACTAGGATTTACTAGGAACTAGAATGCGTTTCTCCTACACCAAATATCTGCCCTCACAACTCTATGAAGTGGGTTTTGTCTTACCCAAATAACAAAGATCACACAGCTGGAGCTCAAAGCCTTCTCTGGATTGAGATGGGTGATGAACTTTTTCAGTCAATGATTCCTACTAAATAGTTCATATGTATCCCTAACAAGTCATCATTATTGGTAGGAACCCATAATTTGTTATGTGTACATAAAACAGAGTGGTTTTTAAGTAAGAAAAAACAAATGGGGATTATTGAAAAATATGTGTGTTCTCAGCACATATGTATACTTATTGACCTATATTTAATATATAACAAAAAGGCAGGCAAACCATTTGCCTTTCATGTACATTAAAACATCCTACCATGGTCTTGTCTAAATATTATCAGAGTCAGTGAACTCAGGGGGCTTCCATAGCCTTGGAAACTCATGACAAGAGCCTAGGGTGATTACTGATGCCATAAACAAGAGTGTCAATTTGTTAAGTCAACAACAGGAGTCACTGTGTACTTACTCCTCATGTAGGATCTTTGTCCTTAGTGGGCTGTACATTGAGATTTAATGCTATAACTAGTACTCAAATAGTATTTTTCACTTTATGTTTCTGTGTGGGAGCAAACTGTTGAAATCTTTACTTAATGTATGCTAAACTGATCTTCTGTATATAAAGAGAATCGAAAATGAATCTTGATGTGAATGGAAGGGGAAAGGGAGTGGGAAAGGGGAGGGTTGCGGGTGGGAGGGACGTTATGGGGGGCAAGCCATTGTAATCCATAAGCTGTACTTTGGAAATTTATATTCATTAAATAAAAGTTTAAAAAAAAAAAAAAAAAAAAAAAAAAAAAAAAAAAAAAAACATCCTAACCAGTTTCCCATTAGGCTGGAGTTTTTAATATTTTTTTAACTTAAGTGTCTTGGAGAAATGTCTGCAGACTCTTATCAAGGCTATAACTGGCTCACAAATTGGGTTCTGTCAGCCAGGTACCAAGATGATTTCTACAAAATTGAGGGATTTTTTTTGTTTCTAATTGAAAGCGACTAATAATGTGATGTCTGTTGAAAATAAGTGCATTTTCTCAGGCAGCCAATGTTAGCTTACTCTTAGTTAAAGTGGTAAGTAAGCTTGAATGCAAATGCAGGCAACATATTTCTATTTCTTGCATGAAGGAGAACTAATTTTGCATATAAAGAAAAGTGTGCAAGCTCTATCTATGACGAAACTTACTTTCACAATTTCTGATCACTGAAAACAACTTACACTTGAACTGGCAAATTTACTTTTCTTCCCTGAACAAATGCAAATTCTTAAGAAATCTGACTCTTGAAAATAATTAAAATTAGAAGTTGACATCCAGCCCAAAGGCATCAGATATCACAATAACTGTATTGCTTCACACAGTATGAAAATGGTAAGATGAGAACTCTCAGTGGATGAGTGTCCTAAAGCCCAACAGCAAATATTCAAATATGAAATATTAGATGGATTAATTTTTCTACTCGGTTTTACTTTTAATATGTGAATTTAAGTACTTTGTTCTGGGTTTTGATTTACTACTTTTTGGGGGCAATCAAATTCAAAAACTATCTTCACCTCATGAAAAATATTCCTCAAAAAGGAACTTTTCTCAACCCTAAAAAAATCTTTGAAATATGACTCTTATTTGGAACTATCATGAGCTAAAACATAACCTGGTTTAAAGTAAAAGGAATATACTTAGTTCTGTTTTGTTAGTGCAGGAGTAATAGTTCTTTAAATTGTAAAAATCTTCTTAGGCAGATTCTTTTCACTTCAGGCATTACTGCCACTCAAAAACAAAAGCTTTGTCTTTTTTTATTTTAAAACATATATTCTCTCTAAATTTACTAGTACAAATGACCATTAGTTCTTTGCCATGATAATTATAATGAACTACTGAAAGTTACTGATAAAAGATGGATTATTAATTAAAGAGTTGATAGGCTAAATAGAGTAACTTCTTCACAGGATACATGGAGGAATCTATAGAAATTTTCCATCTATAAAACATTTTAAGAAGGGTCCCATTTTTTATAGGTACTGAGATCTGCTCTCAGATTGCTTTGTATGCCTTCCCAAATATAGTCTAATGGAACAAGAGATTTGGAATTGCAAGGCAAGGTTTAGAATTGAATCTATTGATCACCAGCTACTTTGGAATGCACTTTGTGCATTCAAAGACACTGTATATATCTTAATTATTATTTCACTACTTTAAAAGCATTTGAATAATGGATGTTGGGAAAAGCTTACGCTCCTCAAGTCATAATTTCACAACATGGCACAACGCTCATGATTGAGAAGTAGCTGGAAAAAATCTTAACATTCCAATAATCAAAAATAATTCAGATGGGGGCTGACACTGTGGCATAGCAGGTTAAGCCACTGCCTGTGAAACCGGCATCCCATATGGGCGCCTGGAAAAGCAGCAGAAGATTGCCTCAGTACTCAGATCCCTGCACTGAAGTGGGAGACCTGGAAAAATCTTTGGTGAAAAATCTTCCGCCTGGCACAGCCCAGCCACTGTAGCCATTTGGGGAGTAAATCAGTGCAATGAAGATCACTCTCTTGCTTTCTCGCTCTCTCTCTTTCTCTTTCATTCTGTAACTCTGCCTTGCAAATAAATAAAAATAAATCTAAAAAAAAATAATTCAGATTAAAAATTATCTTGGCTAAGCAAATTAACATGCTGTAAAATCTGACATGTTAGCCTTCATTGCCTAAACCGACTGCCCACACATTTGGCTTTCCTTCCCTTCAGGGAAGACCACTCCTAAATCGTATGTAATTCTGATAAAGTCTGCTCTTGACTAACTGCTATGTTTTGAATGGTCCCTGAATTCATGCAGAAATTTAAACCTCAAAGTCATAAATTAATGATACTTAGGGAACTGAAAGTTTATCCAACTATCATGTTGAGAGGTGGGCCCTTTGGGATTGACTTAGATTGCTGGGTGGAGCCCCGTGATTGAATCCTAGTGGCATTTTAAGATAGAGTTAGAGACAGACTGGCATGCTTCCTGTCTCTGGCCATATGACGCTCTGTTCCACCTCTGCACTGGGCCAGCAAGAACACCATCAGGAGAGGCTAAAGCAGCAGTGACTCCCTGATCCTGGCTTCCAGAACCCCGTGTCAGAACAAACCTTCTTTATAAAGTTAACCTGTCTCAGTTATTTCTCTATACTAAAGAAAAGCTGACTAATATGCTAACATATCTCAAGCAATATTTTTTAAAACTACTGATACAGAAAATGAATCTTTATACAAAGTAGAAGGTACTCTATTGAAAAATGATATATTCAACACAAAATTCTTATTTGGCAATTAATGGAAAGCATTTATTAAAGAAGAGTTATTCAAATAAAGTTTAAATATAAATTGAAGCATTTTTAAAAATTTACATTTCAAAGTAAGGACTGTGAATTAAAATTTCACACTGTCATTTTAGCAGAGAACATACAGTCTGCTAATCCAATTTGGGGTTCTTTAAAATAAAACAAGGACTTAAAGATACTTGCAAATCAATCTGAATTTTCACTTCAATATTTTATAAGCTTTTCACCCATCTGATTTTAAAGCTTTTTAAAAGATTTTCCCCTTTATAAAGTCTTTCCAGAAATGTAACTTCATTTCATGAAAACTACTGTTAGCATATTCAATTTTTAGAAGTAAAACTACACCAAAAATTACCACTCGCCTAAATATGTGGAGGAGTATCATAGAGATTGCTGAAGCCAGCTTCTACCAGCTTACAAGAGCCAACTGGACAGAGTTCTTCAGTCAGTGGTTTCACTTTGAGAGCATGAAATCCATAGTAGTACTATTTATACCATGAATATCAGCAAGCATTGTACATAAAGACATTTTTTTCCCCTAGAGAGCCAGGTGTTAAAATTCACCACTGACTAACATGGCGCATTCAGTACTAGCATGTAACCTACTGTCCAAGACTTCAGCATACTCTAGCCTTCAACTAAGATATTTTATAAGGGAAATTGGTGGAGTACAGCTAAAAGTCTCTATCTTTAAGAGGGGCAAATGGAGAGCAAGAATTGTTTTTTATATTTCATGTGTTACTGAAATGACACACTCAATCACATTTTACTTGCACAGAAGTAACAAAAATTATTCATTTTTCCAATATTTAAAGAAATAAATCATCAGTTAAAGATAATACTTTTGCAAAGACATTTATTATACATGTAAATCTCCTATAATTAGATTTATCACAAATAATAATAATTAGCAAGGAGAAAATAACACATTAGTAGAACAAAGACATGGAGAAAATGTAGGAAACAGTGGCCAAATATATATGATGTAAATACATGCATACATGTAGAAATGTAAAGAATAAGAATTTTAAATGAAGACAAGTAAAAAGTGCCAAATAGGTAGATCTATTCATTATGATCATTTTAAACAGATGGAAAGTTTAGAGTTACGAAAATTCTATAAAACCCACTGTCTCCAAACATCAAGAAATAAATCATGGCATTCAATATCTCTAAAACAATAATATCTAAACATCTTGTCTTTAATAAGTAACAAATACTGATTGAGTATACAGTGAAATGCATTCCTTATGATGCAAGCTATTGAGCCTAAAACTCAGTGTATTATATTCTTACCGTTTTGTGATCATTAACAATCATAAGTTCCAAATATTTCATTTCTTCAAACACCCCGCGAGACGGCTGTGGAAAAGAGAAATATATGGTCGGAATACAAACTGATTTAAAATATCAATGTTCATTGTTAAGTGATAGATCAACTTTGAATTTCAGAACTCTTTGCTGCCTATTTATTTATAAACACTCTAGAAGAGGCCGGCGCCGTGGCTCACTAGGCTAATCCTCCACCTGTGGCACCAGTACTCTGGGTTCTAGTCCCGGTCGGGGCGCCGGTTTCTGTCCCCCGTTGCTCCTCTTCCAGTCCAGCTCTCTGCTGTGGCCTGGGAAGGCAGTGGAGGATGGCCCAAGTGCTTGGGCCCTGCACCCGCATGGGAGACCAGGAGAAGCACCTGGCTCCTGGCTTCAGATCGGTGCAGCGCGCTGGCCGTGGCGGCCATTTGGGGGGTGAACCAATGGAAGGAAGACCTTTCTCTCTGTCTCTCTCTCTCACTGTTTAACTCTGCCTGTCAAAAAAAAAAAAAAAAAAAAAAAAAAAGCCACTCTAGAAGAAAGTTGGAAATGGAAATACAAATGAAGAAACACAAAAGGTGGGTAGACATCCAAATACTCTGAAAAGGACTGTATTTAATCACTACTAAAGCACTCACTGAGATAGGGGACAGCAATGTTGTTTTAGATTATTTTTATATATTTACATGTCAAAATATTTAACAGAAAAATGTATAACAAAATTCTGCTCAAATAAATAAATCTCATTTCTTTAGCATTAAAATGTGAAAACATACTAATATCTGCTTAAAATTTCAAATAAAATCTATGTAAAATTTATTTCATAAGAATAGAATAAATTATAATTACCTCCAGGTAGATCTGAAACAGGGTCAATGTAGTCAAAGAGAAACATTAACTCACTGGAGGGAAATTCTGATAATCATGTCCAATTCTCAACCACACAACTTCTCAAAGGAACAAATACTGACAATTATTATATTCTAAAGTATTCTAAATTTTTATTTTTACTAGATAATCCTTAAAGAGTAAAGGCAACGTCAAAGGTATTTTTAAAAGTTCAAGGAAAATGAAATTAAAAGATGTGTTTATTTTGCTGCAATTTTTTTAAATCCATGCATTTTTTCATAATATGTATTTTTCCATTAACTTTTTAAAGATTCCTTGTATTTTAGTCCTCATTTACTTTTTTTTTCATGTTTGGAAAATTAATATCAGTAGCTCTTTTTCCTTCGTACAAGCTTAGGGATGGACCTTGGGGAGAGGAAAGCAACCTAGCTAAAACATTACCAACCGGATCCTCAAAAACAAGCAAAACAGCACCTCTACGTTCAAAAAATAAATTACACCCATAGTCCACATAATACTAACAGAGGCTCAGAAGAGAGAAGATAATTCAAACTTGAACTAAGTTTTTGATAGCTAGTGGTCTAATTTTTTCACAAAAAATTACATTCAGCAAAACATTATCTAAAATACGCAATTTCCACTACAGTTGCTCATTAAGTTATCTAGTAAATTACCATGTAATCTATAAACTGTGGAATTAATTCCTGGTTACATAGCATTGACCATGTAATTACTAAACAGTCCCCATCATTACAGCTTGCTATTCTATTATGAAAAACACGAGAAACATAATTTCAGTTACAAAGCCCATCTACGTTTAACAGTACATGTGAGGTATAGGACAGTTGCTGATTATATAATTACATGGTTTTTATTTAGTCACTGTCATATTGGTAGTGGCCAAACAGGTTCATTCCATTCTGAAAATCACATCCTACTTCAAGGTTGAGCCCAACAGAGTTTTTAATTTAGAAGAAATACAAATAAGCGTAATTACAAATATTTCAGAACTTAATTCTTCCTCCTACATCTTTTACTAACAGAAATGTTTTATATGTTATATAAGACATATATTCACCACCACCCCCAAAAAAGGGCTGCTATACTCTCACTAGAAAAAAATGCTTTACACTATAATTTTCATATGAAATCACACATTCTTATATGCCATCAGGAATTACAGATCATCAAAATCAGTTTGAATCACTAATAGGAAAATGAATGAAAAGCAGTGTGTTGTTAAGGTAGAAATCAAAGAGATTTCTTGCTTTGGTAGTTTTTTAGGGAGAAGCTCTTGAGTCTAAGCTATTGGGGATGCACACAGATATTGTCTGATGGCTAGCACTCAGCTCAACTGAGACAACAGCCCCACCTCTGGCTCAGGGCCACACTCACATTCACTGCTCTCTTCCTTCTTTTCAGCCACTGTAATTCAGATAGAAAGGGCCACTGTGCACTGCCTTCCATACCTGTGTAAGAGAAAAATGAATACTAACATTTATGCTTAACTGAATTCCAATGGTAGCATGTTTTTCAATATGTGAAGGGATAGTGGCATTGATAATATGTCTTCTCAAGAACAAGATAAACCAAAGTGAAAAAAGTACACTGATCATTAAATATTTCACACTCCCATGGTCACACAAACAAGTAATTATCTCCCAAACATAATGAGCTATCCAAGATTCATTACAGGATGCCTATTTGACCTACAACCTTGACAACATCTGAAAATTTAAGAGAATTCTACTTGTTTAATTCATTTTAGAACTTAAAATATGGCATTCATTTTTGCATAAATTATTGAAGATGCTTGGCATTCATAGACAGCATAATATCATACACTCAATAATCCCAAAGAAGCTTTTGCCGACATTAGCTTACTTAAGATGCTTCAGGAGCAGAGCCTGAGAGGGAAGTGATGCAAGCTGGCTAAAGAGCATCAAGCCGTCAGGAAAATTTAAGATGAAACTTGCTGTAAATCCCTCTGCTAAATCTGGTTCAGTTCCTAACATGGCTTTGCTTCTGGACTTCATGATTCAGTCTTTCCATTCAAACAATTCTCCATGCCTCTTTTCACGAAAGCCACAGTTCACTCCATAGCCAGACACAGTGCTCACTCCACTACATTCCCCAATAAGCCTTTGTATCTTTCAAGTTCCACCAAGTCACAGCTCCTACTACATTAACTATGATGGCCACTCTAATTAAAACTTACTGAGATTCTTCATTTGTTTAGAATATTGTCCCGCCCTGATTTTCTGGATTACATGTGGTCGACCAGCACTTTTCTGCAACAAAAACAATTATAGGCAATGAAAAAAGCAAGATGTGAATGAGCCTCTATTGAATAGTGTTAGAACTTTCTCTAATGTTCTTCCTAAAGTGGAAACATTTATTTCAATTTTTTTTAGCTATCAAAAATGAAAAGCATGTCTCATTGAAATTTTAATTTTAAATAGAGCATCATACAATTGCCACAATTTAGATAAAAGCACAGTTATATTAACTACTCCTCAACCTTAACTTTCTTAAAGCCATGAATAGGAAATTCACAAGAAAGAAATAAACCCAGAAAGCTGGTGAGTATTTTTAAAAAATGAAAAATGCTGAGCACTTTACTACTCCTTTTAAAATGCAAATTTTTAATGAAATACCAACTTTTGCTACCAAATTGACAAAGGTTTAAAAGTTATGATACCCACAATTAATTACAGTCAAAAAGCACTCACATACATGACTGGTGGGAGTAAATTGCTAACATAGTTTGAGAGAGAAATTTAGCAATGTCTAACAACTATCCTGAAAATACTCATATTCTTTGCCTTAGAGATTGTCCTTTTAGGAATGTCCTATTACCATTACTATTATTCCTATTACTCCCATTGCTAAGTGCATAGTTGTGTGCCAGGTAATGTTCACATACACATTACCCAATTTTTATTTGTTATAAGAACCTCATACAGTACACAATTTATCTCCATTTTATAAATAAAGACATTAAAATTCTGAGATATATTATTGAGTTAATGTATGCTAAAATATTGACCTAACTTATTTAGAAATATACATTAGAATGTATCAATGAAAAACTGAAACAGGGAAGGTTATTTGGTCTGGTAGTTAAGACACTGCTTGGGACACCCACATCCCATATCAGAGTGCCTGAGTTTGAGTCCCAGCTCCACTGCTGAATCCAGCTTCCTGCTAATATGCATCCTGCTAGGCAGTCAGTGTCAGCTCAAGTAGTTGGATCCCTGCTAACAGGCTCCTGCCTTTGGCCTGGACCAGCCCTGGCTGTGGTAGGCTTTTGGGGGGTGAACCAACAGATGGGAGATCACTCTATGTGTCTCTGCCTTTCTCTTCCTATAATGTATTAGTTTTATAATCATAAAAATAACTATAAAATAATTCTGCTTAATAGATTCTATAAAAGACAATTAAAAGTTTTACTACTAATTTTTATCAGAGAGAACATGAATTCTCATTAGAAATATCCTATCCTGGGGCCAGTGCCGTGGCGCAGTAGGTTAATCCTCCGCCTGCGGGGCCAGCATCCCACATGGGCACCCGTTCTAGTCCCAACTGCTCCTCTTCCAATCCAGCTCTCTGCTATGGCCTGGGAAAGCAGTAGAAGATGGCCCAGGTCCTTGGGACCCTGCACCTGCATGGGAGACCTGGAAGAAGCTCCTGGCTCTTGGCTTCGGATCAGCATGGCTCCAGCCACTGCGGCTATTTGGGGAGTGAACCAACGGAAGGAAGACCTTTCTCTCTGTCTCTCCCTCTCACTGTCTGTAACTCTACCTCTCAAATAAATAAATAAATAAATAATCTTAAAAAAAAAAAAAAAAGAAGTACCCTATCCTTAATCCTTACTACTTAACTGGTCATTAAGCATGTTAAAATTAATAATAATTAAACTCCCCCTCAAAATTCAATTATATTAGGCTCTTAATTCAGGTGAAAAGATACCTAAAATAATGACACTCACAACTGAATCAGCAACACAGTTTTCAAAACTAATTTAAAGCTTCAAGCACTGCTCCTTTCCCTCACAGGGAGGATGAAAACAAACTGTTACACAAACTAAGGTAGGCAAGAGGAAGGAAGGCAGACAAGAAGAGACAATCAGCCCCTGAACACCATGCTCATGGGTGCAACGATGCAAAATGTTTGCTAAACACTACGATAGTGATAGTTTATAAATCTTGTCAACAGTTTAACAAACACTGTCACATATGTTCATTCATTCTCTGAATCTGCAAAATTGCTCTAATGGGGTGCATTGCAAAATTAGCTTGTTTACACTTTAAAAAACTCTCAGGGAGCAGACTTGGTGGTGCAGAGGGTTGAGCCAGTACCTGGACACCTGCATCCCATATCAGAGTGCCAGTTCAAGCCCTGGCACCTCCACTTCTGACCTGGGTTCCTGCTAGTGCACCCAGGGAAACAGCAGTTGCTCAAGTGCTTGACTTCCTGGCACCCACAGGAGAGACCCAGATGGAGTTCCTGATCCCACTACTGCAGGCATTTGGGGAGTGAGCCAGCTGATGAACGAAATCTCTCACTCTGTCTATCACCCTGCCTTTCAAGTAGATGAAAATAAACATTTTAAAAAACCTCTCAGGCTTGGATTTTTTCTTTTGCCCCTTGGGATTTGGTGGGGGATGGTGGTAACAAGGCCATTAACCAAAACCAGAAATCAGAATCAAATATTTTTCTGAATGACTAAAATAATTTTGCTGCATGCAAGTTACCTACCTAACAGTGAGTAAAGGAAAAAGATTTTACTTAATCAAAATGTCTTCACCTAAGTTGATTTGCCTGCATTACCTGGTAACTTTTATAATTACTATTTAAGAACTCATAAGCATGAATTCAAATATGAACCATTTATAATTTAAATTTCCTTTACTATATCAAATTTTATATTTATCCAATATTCACACATACATTGCTACAGCTAGGTAAAATGTTCATCTGTTAAACTATTATTATCAATAGCCTAAATATTATGTTATAAAATTTATTTTACCTAAATTTGAAATCATTAAAGAGAAAAATATTTTTTGTTTCTCATCATATATTTCAACTTTAGTAATCTCAAAATATAATTTTCTCACTAGAAATTCTTTTTAAAATTTTTTATTATCGGGGCCGGCACCGTGGCATAGCGGGTAAAGCCGCCACCTGCAGTGCCGGCATCCCATGTGGGTGCCAGTTCGAGACCCGGATGCTCCACTTCCAATCTGGCTCTCTGCTATGGCCTGGGAAAGCAGTGGAGGATGACCCAAGTCCTTGGGTCCCTGCATCCATGTGGGAGACCTGGAAGAGGCTCCTGGCTCCTGGCTTCAGATCGGCCAGGTCCAGCCGTGGCGGCCAACTGGGGAGTGAACCAGCAGATGGAAGACCTCTCTCTCTCTCTCTCTGCCTCTCCTTCTCTCTCGGTGTAACTCTTTCAAATAAATGAATACATCTTTAAAAAATTATTTATTTACTTTCATTTTATTTGAAAGGTAGAGAAATAGACAGAGATCTCCCATGAGCTGGTTCACTCTCCAAATGCCCCCAACAACCGGGGTTGGGCCAGGTGAAAGCTGGGGGCCAGGAACTCAATCCATGTATCCTACAAGATTGCCAGGTACCTAAGCTCTTGAACCATTACTTCCTGCCTCTAAGGTTGGTAGGAAGCTGGAATTGGAAGCAGATCTGAGATTCAAACTCAGACACTCGCATATGGGATGCAGGCATCCCAAGTGTCATATGAACCACTGTGCCAAACTCCCACTCCTATCTTTTGTTGCTCTTAGTTTACATCGTTTAGCATTAGCAGTTCTTTTGATGGATCTGACTTCCCTGCTGTTACCTCTCCTGGCTTCATCACCCACCACTCTCCCCCTGTTCACTCCTCTCCAGCCTAGCCAGGTCCCCCAAAGATCCTGGAATACACTGGGCCCACCTAAGCTTCAAGGCCTTTGTGTGTTTTGCCCCTGGAATGTTCTTCCAGCTCTGTTTCCTTAAGGTCTTTATTCCAAGCTCATCTTCTCTGCGGGGCCTTCCCTGGACAGGGTGTATAAAATCTTGACTCTCCTCTCCATCTGCCTTGCTTCACTTTTTCTCCTCTGCATGTATCGATACTTAATACACCATACATACTTATGCACTCTGTGTATTTCCATTGGTCCTGGAAACTTAAAGCTCCATTAGGCTCAGGCTTTTTTGTCACTAACATATCTCAGCACCTAAAATAGTACCGTCCTTTAGTAAATCCTTGGTACAATATTTGATTAATATATATTGGATTTTATGTTTGGTTGCAGTCCATTAGCAAACAATCCAATTGAACATTGTGATTTCCTGTCTAGGTGATTTCTTTTCATGGCCTGTGTATGACTAAACAGTGTTTTCTTTCCTATCTCTACAGAAAATAGACACTATATCATGTAATTATATTTCAGACTACAAATTTCCCCACTAAAGAGTCTTAGGCCTAGAAAAGTTAACTACATATGTACAGTCACACAATTATCTGAAGACACTGAAAAGGAAGACTAGTTTAATAGAGCAGAATTTGGTTCCTAGAATGCACAATGATCTCTCTGCTCTCCCCATGGATGGGAAACAACTGGCCTTCACTTCAGAAAACCTGGGTTTGATGGACCTGGCATGTGCAGCTTGAACTTCAAAATTCATGGTACAACTCTAAGTTTAAAATAAGATAGCATGTATAAGTACTTTGAAATAAATTCAGTAGACCCCCCGCCCTTATCCACCAGGGATATGTTCTAGAAGCCCAGTGAATTCCTAAAACCAATGACAGTGGGCCGGCGCCACAGCTCAGTAGGCTAATCCTCCGCCTGCAGTGCCAGCACCCCGGGTTCTAGTCCCGGTTGGGGCACCAGATTCTGTCCCGGTTGCTCCTCTTCCTGTCCAGCTCTCTGCTGTACCCCGGGTGTGCAGTGGAGGACGGCCCAAGTCCTTGGGCCCTGTGCCTGCATGGGAGACCAGGAGAGGCACCTGGCTCCTGGCTTCGGATCAGCGCGGCACGCCGGCCACAGCGCACCAGTCGCGGCGGCCATTGGAGGGGTGAACCAACGGAAAAAAAGGAAGACCTTTCTCTCTGTCTCTCTCTCTCACTGTCCACTCTGCCTGCCAAAAAACAAACAAACAAAAAACCAATGACAGTACCAAACCCTACATAAACTATGTTTTTTCCTACACGTACATATCTATGATAGAGTTGAATTTATACATTGGGCCACTAAGAGATTAACAATCACTGGTAATAAAATGGAATACTTAGACCACAAGATACACAAACATGGTCTCTCTGGTTACTTCTGGGATTTTCCACTTAATTTTTTTGTCTGTGTGTTACTGAAACCATGGTTAGGGACTACTGTATTTTTTTTTTCTCTTTCCTGCTTAAAGGCAAAGATGCTAGAAGAGTTAAATACCATAAAGAAAGGGATGTCTCAGTCAGACTCACCTCATCATGAATCAGTTCCAGTGGCTCTATCATATACACAAAGGTACTATCTTCAAACATACCACTGTAGCATAAGAAACCACACAAGGAAAGGATTAGCAAATACAGCCAATGGTAGGAAACAGCAAGTTAGTTTTGTTACTGTGTCTTTACAAGGAGTACAGCGGAACACCATTATACTGCCCCAAATGAAACTTACACGTCTATATGAGATCCTATGACCAACATAGCACACCAATTACACGAAGTTTAAGAGTATACACTAAGTGCATACAAATTATATCTGATACAATCAACCTTTGAAAATAACTGGACAAATCAGAAGACTACGCTGGGCCAGGACTATTCATGAGACAGTAGTACCTCAGGTTATAATTCCAGAACCATGTACAACCAGTATAAATTTGTAACTATGCAAATCCAGTACCATCTGTAAGAAAACAGACAGGGTCTTCATGTATAAGAATAATCTAAAGCCATCTGATTCTGAAGAGGCAAAAACCAGAAGAAGTACCTTTATGTTTGTCAGTTGTGAATTTCCTTCAAGCAGTATGATTTGTTTCATATGAATCACACATACTTTTGAAATACACAGAATTTTGTTTATTAAGGGTAAAAAGAAGAATTTCAAGATCTGCACAAGGCCAAAACTAGATCTGTACACAAGGTGCTGCTCTGTTCAGCTCTAAAAGGTGACTAACGGTTATATTTTTAGAGCTCGCCTCTGAGCCAATTCATGAGCTCCTCTCCTGTTACCTGACCCTTGTCTGGCTAGTCTGCTTCATCTCTAAGCTAATCTAACTGATCAGCTGTCAGGAAACCTTTGTGGACCAGTTTGGTCACCCTATAAACCCTCATCTTTCTCTTCTAGAGTAAGCACCCCCCAAAATGGAAATTCAATATTAATCAGTGTAATCATCTGTTTACTCTCTGAATCTCTTGCAACCGAAGTGTTAAAGAGAGCAGGGACTTTGTCCTCCTGTGCACCACTCCATACCCAATCCCTAACATGGGACTGGTACAGAAGAGTCACAAATAAATATTGGTGAAGGAAAAACTGGAAAGGGTGATTGGAAGAAAGCCAGCTTGGAGGGCAGGAGGATCCGTGAGGTTCCCACGTACTGAAGTCCATTGCAGGTAGACAGCGCCACCTTGGAGTCTTTGACACCTCTGATGCTCCCATGGTAGTAACAGTGCTCTCCACCCTACAAAGCAGAAGAAGATTTAATTGATTGTGTTTCCCACGTCATGGTCTCTCTTTGGATGCTTCTATCAAGCAAAAAGCAATGCAAGGATGGGAATGTGTTTGCAGTGTGTACTGATAAACCTAGAAACTCCTCCTTTATGAAATCACAAACAAGACCAGGCAGTTTTTCAGATTTTCTATAACAAGTAGGTGTGCATTGAGGGCAGGAGAAAAGGCTTTAAAAGGAATGATAAAACACACACATCTCTCAAACTTGTCTTACAGGGGTTGTCCCTACCAGATGTTGATATGCAGTAAAGATCGCTGCACAAGAGAACTTTAAGGTGTTGTTCATAATTGTTTTTATATAAAATGATACATAAACTGAGTATTTACTTTCTTATCTTTTTAAATTAGTTTTTTTTTGCATTTTCAGAAACAGCACTTGAACTTAGTTTTCAAAGCAAAATACGAACTGTAAATTACTACATTTTAAAATACACAGTGGTTTCCTTTCTCCCTCCCTACCTCCACAGAGCAACCATTTCCCCTGTTAGCTGTTGATGCTGGGGTTTATCTAAGCATTTTAATAGAATATGTATACTGCTAAGTCCTGACTTATTCTACCTTGGAAATTATCTTCTTAATCTAGAGCACTGAACATTTTTCTGGCCGCAATACATTCGAACACACAAAACCAGTCTTGGATGAGATCAATAATGTTTATAATGTGAAAATGCCAATACAGTTCACAGGTATCCCACCACTGTTACATTTCTTACTTGCTCCATTTTCTGATTTCCTTATTTTTCTTTTAGAATTAAGATACATTTATTTGGTGTAAAAGTTAAGAAATCCAGGTGTAATTTTTTCATAACACAAATTTTCCACAGACTTTTGCAGACCCCACAGAAATACATTCACACACAAATACATAGGAAAATACATAGATGGATACATGTTAAGCATTAGTAGTAGTTACTTCTCTTTTTTTGCCAGTAGCATCTTGTATTCTCTGTTTAATTAATGTCATAAATACATGCTTCAGAAAACAATCTTAGCCTTCCAATATTTGCAGTGGTTCCAAACCAGTTCATTCACAGTGGATAAGTTTTAGAAATAGAGAGCATAACCTGCAAGCTCCCTCACTTAGAAAATAATCATGTTTCTACAGCACCTGAATCTTTTTTGTATTTTTTTAATTTAAGTTATACAAGTTTCATGTATTTCATATATACAGATTGAGGAACATAGTGGCACTTCCCCCCCACCCTCCCTCCTGCCCATGCTCTAGCCCTTCCTCTCCCTTCCTCTCGAATTCCCACTCTTAATATTCACAATGGTTTATTTTCAGTATACTTAATGATCATATAGTTATCCCTACTCTAAGTAAAAGAGTTCAACAAACAGCATGAAAAGAAAGGAAAGAAAACAAAACAAAACAAAAACACTGTTCCTCAATGGAAGAGACAAAAGCTATAAGCAATCATGGAAATTCTAAATGTCCATTTCAGTCCAATACATAGCATTTCAGGTACTCTGTTGATTACCTTGCATCAGGAAAAACATATGGTATCTATCTTTTGGGGACTGACTTATTTCACTAAGTATAATGGTTTCCAGTTGCCATCATCTTGTTGCAAAAGACAGGATTTCATTTATTTTTTTTTTTTACAGCTGAGCAGTACTCCATAGTATATATATACCATAATTTCTTGACTCCATTCTTAGCTCTTGTGAATTGTGCTGCAATGAACATGGGGGTACAGATAACTCTTTCATACACTGATTTCTTTTGGTTTGGGTAAATTCCCAGGAGTGGGATGGCTGGGTCATATGGTAGGTCTATATTCAGATTTCTGAGGTATCTCCATACTGTCTTCCATAGTGGCTGTACCAGTTTACATTCCCACCAACAGTGGACCAGGATGCCTTTTTCCACACATTCTCGCCAACATTTGTAATTTGTTCATTTCTGTATGAAAGCCATTCTAACTGGAGTGAGGTGAAACCTCATCATGGTTTTGATTTGCATTTTCCTGAATGCTGGTGATCCTGAGTTATTTCCTTATTTTTCCATGCAGTGAGTACTTGTCTACTCCTATTATTTGAGAGGACTCTAAAGCCCCTCTCAAGAGGGTCCAATGAATCACATAACTGTGGTGCCTACTTTTCTCCAGGAGACACTCCTCTCATTTCCCTTCTGCCTCATGCTTCAGTCCACCCAGCTGCTCTCTAGGCCCATGCACAATGGCCATCCACTTGTCTGTAGCATTAGTCCCAGAGTTCCCTTTGCCCTCCTTCTCTATGGGATCTTAGGTCCCATATCATCTCCATTCTTGGATCACTGCTATCCTTTTTTGGAGGCACAGATTCTCCATTACTTCCCTGAAAAAGTATTCATGAAAGATAAATTTGGTTAGAATTTGCATGAATGAAATTTCTTTTTCAGCCTTCACACTGGACCCTTAATTTGAATGGGTAGAGAACTGATTTTTCCTCAGCATTTTAAAGGCAATGTGCACAGTCATCCAGTGTCTAATGTTGCTGTTATGTGTTGGATAATATTCTAATGTTAGATGTTTTCTATAAAATATGTTCTTCCCCCTTCAAGTACACTTCAGGAAATTTTATGCAGCCCCATTTTAATGAACACCCAGGATGCATGCTGGTGTAGGTCTTTGTTCCTTTTGCCCAGACACTCTGTTATACCTTGTATTCAGGAAAACCATGCACTTCAGGCCTGGGAGGCTATTTGTTATTATGATTTCTCTGATACTTTCTCCCTTTCCATTTTTACCCATAACTCACTTCTCTACTAGACTAGGAAAGAGATAGCCAACTGGCTATATGGGGTGGGGAATAAGTCAGGAATTCAACCACTCTCCAGATACACTTTCAACCAACCTTTCTGTTTCAGTTCCTCCGCTACTCTGGGTTAAGTTATATGAGTTGGCCTGCATTTCCTTGGTTTCCCCTCAACAGAACTTGGCAGAGCAGAAAAGGTAAAATCTGGGACAGTTACTCTCATCTAACTGCTTTCTATCTCTTGAAATTTTATGGATCTCTCATCTACTGTTTTCTCTTCCCCTATCTTCATACTTGTGGATTCATATCTTTTTCTTCTCCCTTACATGTGAGTTGGTTCCTGGGAGGGAACAGAATTAAATAACCCTTACCTATAAGCATATTTATATATATATATACACATATACACATCCACATATATTATACACATATGGATAAAATAAAGGATTGCTTTTCTGTTCCCAAATAGCAAACTTTTGTGTAAATATTGATGTATGTGTTATGCCAATTTCTATTTGCATATTCAACTCTAGAATTTATAAGAACAAATGACATCACATATTTCAGAAGCTTGAGAATCAATACTGAGGTCAAGATTCACAATTAAATTCAGACTATTCACATTATAAAAATAACCACAGGTAACATTAAATTTCATCAGACTCATTCTTTAGTACTCCAAATCACACCAAAAATCTATTTCAAGTCAAGTGATTATTAGAAGTAAATGTAGAGCAAATTCCATCATATTTACTTGACCTTTCTAAGAAAAGCTATTTCCAGATTTTACTAAAAATATTCTCCTTTTCCCTATAAATATTTCCAAGTGCTTTCTTAGATTTAAGCTTTCACTTGCATTGGAGACTGAAGGTTGATGCGCACCATCAAGGTCATTGGTACCTCTTTGAATAAAGATAGGATAGTATCTGAAGGGACTGAGTTCTCTGTGTTTTTGAATGTGGATCATCATATTTTCTAGACCTAAAATGAGATTTGAGGTATTATCCAGTCTCCAATGTTTATAATAAGAAAGTTTACCATCTAAATTTTGTAGTTATATTAACTACTATCAGCAACTTGGCAGTTTCTGATTTAGTATAGACCTGTGATGAGGAAACAGCAGGAAACCTATGGTTTTCATTGACTTTTTTTTAATTGTCCCACTTTTGTCTCGGTTTAATTAATTATCTCATCTGCTTCAGTAATGCTCCATCCATCAGTTATTAAGATTTTTCCGGAAACCTGAACATACATGATGACAAAGAACTGATATTTTCCATTGATTCCTAAAGGTCAGGCAAACATCTAAAAATTAATACATAGGCCTTAAGCTAAGAAACGTGTATATTATGATATCTAGATTCTGAATACAATAATAAAAACTGTGATGCTATATTCAAACTGTTACTCTACATTCACATCTTTAAATAATTCAAATTTATCAACTAGCAGGGCATGCCAATCTATTTTTAAAATCCGTAGGCTAGCAGAAAAGGGGAAATAGAAGAAAAGTATTCATAATTGGATGCATATGCCTTGATGTGAATACTGCAGAATAAGGAAATTAATAAAATAATTTCAGAGAATTGGGAAACTTGAGACCCCAATACCAGTTTAATTATTTACTTTCATTAAATCCAATGGGGGAAAAATGTTCCTGTGGTACTTTAATTAATAAAGTATTAGAACAGTTTGGCTGTACCAATGCTATATAAATTTTTAATAGTTCATATAAATTATACCATTCAAACCTAAAATAGCTTTGTGAGGAGCCAGCATTGTCTGTTCTCTTGATTCCATTGGGGGCATTTGGTAACCCCATGCTTCTTTCATAGTCTGTAATGTACTCATAATATTATCAAGCAGGACAATATTTTGAAAGATTAACAATAATAATTTCAACTTTAAGCTCAAAATTTAAATAACTGATAATCACGAATCTAATATAAGTTGCTGACAGTGGGAAGTTCTGTTTTGCCTATTGTTACTTCATTTTTTTACTATTCCAATGGTAAGCAACTTTTTAAAGAAACCCACTGGTAACTGAACGACTAGAAAATACCTTATACACAAGTGTGTGTGTGTGTGTATATACATATACATATATCATAATAATTTTAGTATTTAAAAAAGAAAGAAATCCTGCCAATTGCAACAGCATGAAATTACCTGGAGGACATTATGCTAAGTGAAATTAGCAAGGCTCAGGAA